GGTAGATAAGTCACCTGGTCTGGACGGGATGCATTCTCGGTTTCTGAGGGAAAGGTGGAAATAACGGACACTCTGACCATAATCTTTCAATCCTCCTTGGACACCAGGGTGGTGCCAGAGAACTGGAGGATTGCAAATGTTACTCCCCTGTACAAAAAGGGGCAGAAGGGTAAACTCAGGAACTACAGGCCAGTCAGCCTAACGTTAGTAATGGGAAAACTTCTAGAGACTGTAATCCGGGACAAAATACATTTTCACTTAGAAAAAAATGGTTTAATAAAGTACAGCCAACATGGGTTTGTTAAAGGCAAATCATGTCGAACAAACCTGATAGTTTTTTGATGAAGTAACGGAGAGGGTGGATGGAGATAGTGCAGTTGATGTTGTTTATATGGATTTTCAAAAGGCATTTGATAAAGTGCCACATAAGAGATTCGTAAGCAAAATAGAAGCCCACGGTATTAAAGGGACAGTGGCAGCATGAATACAGAACTGGCTGGGAGACAGAAAGCGGAGAGTGGTGGTGAATGGTTATTTTTCTAACTGGAGGGAAGTGTTCAGTGGTGTCCGCCAGGGATCAGTATTGGGATCACTACTGTTTTCGATCTATATAAATGACCTGGACTTGGTGTATAGGGAGTACAATTTCTAAGTTTCCAGAGTCCTGTAGCTCAGTGGTTAGAGCACTCGCCTTGCAAGCGAGACACCTGGGTTCAATTCCAGGCAGGGCAAAACCATGGGCAAGTTTTCTTACTCCACATGCCTAATAATAATCCCTCCAAAACAAAAAACAATAATAAAATTGGTCATTTTCAATCCACGACTGTTTGTGGGACACTGCTGTGCGCAATCGGCTGCCGCTTTTCGCCCACGAATATATGGTCAATTAACTTTACAGCATATTCTGTGAAGTGCTTTGAGATGTCGAGAAGACGTGAAAAGCGCTATATCAAATCCAAGGATTATTATTATTATTAAAAGTCAGGACGTAATGACGAACCTTTTATAAAACACTAGCCTTAGCTAGAATATTGTGTTCAGTTCTGGGCACCACACTTTAGGAAGGATGTCAAGGCATTGGAGAGGGTGCAAAGGAGATTTACCAGGATGGTACCAGGAATGAGGGGCTTCGGTTATCAAGAGGGGCTAGAGAAGCTAGGATTATTCTCCTTAGAGCAGAGAAGGTTAAGAGGAGACTTCATAGAAGTTTTCAAAATTATGAGGGGATTCGTTAGGATGAACAAGGAGAAACTATTTCCACCGGTGGGTGGGTCGGTAACCCGAAGATGCCAATCTAAGATAGTTGTTAAAAGAAACAGAGGGGAGATGAGGACAAACTTTTTTACACAGCGAGTTGTTCGGATCTGGAATGCATTGCTTGAAAGGGTAGTGGAAGCTGATTCGATAACAACTTTTAAGAGAGAACTAGGTAATTATTTGGGGAGGACAAGGTTGCAGGGCTATGGGGAGAGAGCGGGGGAGTGGGATTGAATTGGATAGCTCTTTTCAAAAAGCCAGCACAGACACGATGGACAAAATGGCCTCCTTCTGTGCTGTAAAATTCGATGATTTTTTTTGCATCAGCCTTTACCAAGGAGGAGACGGGTAACCTATCTGATCTGGAAAGAGAACTCACAGATGTCGCAGACAAAAGTTACGACGCTATTCATATCACTATCAGCATGGTTGTCAAACAGCTGTGTAAGCTTAAGGTAAATAAATCTCAGGGGCCAGATAAATTGCATCCGAGGATCCTTAAAGAACTGAGGGAGGAAGTCGCAGAAACGCTGGCACAAATCTTTCAAAAATCATTGAATACTGGAGAGGTGCCGGGGGACTGGAGAAAGGCAGATGTTACTCCTATTTTTAAGAAAGGTAACAAAAGTGACCCAGGAAATTACAGACCAGTAAATTTGATGTCCATTGTGGGTAAAATTATGGACTCTTATTAAGGATAAAATCATGGTGCATCTGGACAGAAATAAAATCATAAATGATCAGCAATATGGGTGCATGAAGGGAAGGGCTTGCCAATCTAATTTACTGGTTTTCTTTGATGGTGTGACAAGGGAGCTTGTTAAGGGTAAGGCTGTGGATGTTGCATATCTGGATTTCAGTAAGGTCTTTGATACAGTTATTCTCGAGAGGCTGGTACTGAAAGTNAAAAAAACAGGAATCAGTGGAGGTATATTACATTGGATACGTAATTGGTTGACCGGAAGAACCCAGAGAGTGGTGGTACTGGGAATGTCATCAGACTGGGAAAATGTTACCAGTGGAGTTCTACAAAGGGTCTGTTTGGGACTTCTTTTGTTTAATATTTTTATAAATGATCTGGAACTAGAAGTCGCAAGCACAGTGGCTAAGTTTGCAGCTGACACCAAGCTAATGAACGTGGTAGATTGTGAAGCTGAACAAGACAGGTTATAGGAACATTTGAACATACTTGGGAATTAGGTGGATCAGTGGCAGATGAATTCAATGTGGAAAAAATGTTAAGTACTTCACATGGCGAAGTACTTGTCCCTCGCACCCTCCAACCCACCATTGGAAGTCGTGCTTTCAACCACTAGACCCCAAAACTCTGGAACACTCTCCCTCAATCCCTCCGCCTTGCCCCCTCTCTCCCCTCTTTCAAGTCCCTCCTGAAAACTTTCCTCTTCGACCGTGCTTACGGCCACCTCCCCCCGGCTTGGACTCAGGCTCCGCCACTGTTAAGTGCTCTGAGACGCTCCCCTGCGTGGAGGGTGCTAATTAAGTGCAAGTTGTGATTGTTGGTATATAGTACATAGGTAGTTTATGACATATGTGCATGCGACTGCCAGGAAGGTGGAAGGCGAATAGATGGACCTTGGTTTTATTTTGTCTAGCATTTCTTATGTTCTTATGATTCTTCACCTGAAAAATTTAAAACCTTGGCTCAACATGACACTGCGTCCCAGTGCCAGAAATAAGTGGAGTGGTGGGGGGAGCCTTAAGATTCAGGTGAGTTGCTCCAGATCCACCTACTGGCCACTTTAAGAATATTAAATTCTTAAATTTAACATTCTTAGGGGGCTTCTGGCATTTGTTGCATTACTGTATTAACTGCAACCTGCTAACTGAGTAATGATGTAGCACAGGAATACCTAGAGATGAAGAAATTAAAAATAAAGTATGAAATGGAATAAAGTATGGAAGAAAAAAAAGAACAGTTAAGGACAATGCAGAATATATTTTCTCAAATGTGTCTGATCAATGGCATCTTTAATGAAATACAGAGTTCAGAAAGATAGCAAAAATGATGAATATAGAATTCCTTTTTCATTGTAATACATTATGTATAATAGATATAATTTTCGCAGTGCAGTTTTTAAAAAGATCAAATGTAACAAACTACAAATTTATACAAACATACAGCAAAATGAATGAATAAAAATATAAAACCTGATAATACCATATGAAAAGCCATTTCACTCAAACAACTTTCGTGGCAACTCTTCAAAGTACAATCATCACTGATGGTACAAATTTGCTATTGCTATAACGTACAAAAGTAGTATCTGAAAGTGTTTCTTTGGCCACTTAATTGGTAAAGCATGTTTGTACTCTTTGCAAACACTAATAAAAATCAAGTCAAAAACTGCTGTCACTTTTGACTATAGCGACAGTGGTTCAAGTGCTCTGAGACACTACCCTGTGTGAGGGAAGCTATATGAATGCAAGCTGTTGTTTTAGACTTGATTTTTTTTAATAAAGATCCCAAACTAATGTTTTTCTCCCTCATCTAAATTAGACTTAGATTACATACATATTTCTGTTTTTCTTTTCCTCTTCTATGTCTTTTTTCCCCCAATCCAAAGAGAAATCTCAACAAGCAAAAACACATGAATCATTTTGATACATGGAAAGAATTTTGAATTAACTGCATTTGAAATGACAATGACCACCATACATCACATTTTCCGTTTTTACCTCTGAACTTGCCCTTCTGTTACATAAACCCAGATTAACCTTTCAAAATAACTCTACATAAATATTGCAATCAGTACCCTTGAAAATGAGCAACCATTAACTTTGAGCATTAACCCTTGGAATATTGAATTCCTTTGCAAATTTTCAAACAATTATATTAAACTCCAAGGCATAAATTTGTATAAAATGTAAGAAATTACAGCAAAGGAAAATACGGCTTCACGTGTACCATCTCCAAAATACACAAACGTTAATGATAACTTCAAAAACATGGAAACATTCTTTAATATCATCAGATTATGGATCTCTTCATCAGGCACAATGATTAAGCACCAAGTTTTGTGAATATCTATGGCTAGACCAGGATAGCATTAGTAATTATTAAAGTGTTCATGGCTGGGGGGTTTTGGTCTGCCATGTCTGACACATGCAGAAACCCATTAACATACTTAAGAGTATTCATATATGTACGGCACTTCTGCGTGGAAATTTGCCTGCACCTGGAATGGAAATACATACTCTCTCCTTGGAGGAGCATCCTGCTTACTTAATTAGTGAGAATCGTGAGGTCTCCATTATTGTGCGTTGGGGTACTGCTGGAACTTAAACGGCTAATACCACATGGTTTCCCACTGAGAAAACTGTCATTGAAACATAGAAACAGGAGTAGGCTATTCAGCCCCTAGAGTCTGTTTCGCCATTTTATAAGATCATGGCTGATCTGTACCACAAGTCCAGTTACCCGCCCTTGCCCCAGATCCCTTAATACCCTGATCTAACAAATATCTATCTACGCCCGTCTTGAAAATGTGAATAGATCCAGCATCCACAGCCTTTTGGGGGAAAGAGTTACAGATTTCCACTACCTTTTGGATGAAAAACTGCCTCCTAATTTCATTCCTAAATGACCTAGCTCTAATTTGAAGATTATACCCCCTCGTTCTGGATTTCACTACCAGAGAAAATAGTTTATCTGTAAAAGCTTCAATAAGATCACCCCTCAATCTTCTGCTTTCCTGCTTGTCCAGCTAGGATCATCCTACCCATTAGGACTTAGGCTTGCTTGCAGGGGTAACAGGGTAGCCAACTCCCTTTAAGGAATCCATGGCTGCGAAACAACATTTAGCCATATCAGAGTGAATATAAAAAGTAGGGTACTTCTCTCTTGAAACCCACAAAGGAGTCTGCCTCTGCCACCTTATGTGGCAGGGAATTCCACATCAACAACTCTATGAGTTATTTTTTTTCTCCTAAGCTCTCCTTTTGCTCTTCTTGTGACTATCTTAAAAGCCTCTGACTCCGCTACCAGTGTAAACAGCTTTAGTGTCATGTAATTAATAACCAATGTGATATGTGATTACAGATCCATCTGTAATCCTTGGCATTGATCGTGGATAACATAATTGAGGATACTTGCGATTCCCTCTGTACAAGTGCCAACATGTGGTTGACACAACTCACAAACTAAACTTTGGCAAATCTTAATGCTTAAAAGTAAAACCTAATTGCCATGTACTACTTCAGTGTTAAGTAATGTGGTAACACATTATTCCAAAACTGTTCAGAATTTGGTTGTCCGTTCATTGAGCGATGTGTTCTGTTAACTGTTTGTTTTGTAATTGTCCGTTCTTTTTGTTCTGCAGTGTTTTTTTTAGATCTAATTTTCTGTTTTTGTTTCACCTCTTCTTTTTCTTCAATTTTATCTTCTTCAGAACTATTATTTTCTGTTTCATATTTAATTTGACTTCCCTTTCCTCTTTCATCACCTTCACCTTTACCCCCTTCACTTTCCTCACCACTTTCTTCTTCATCTTCCTCACCACTTTCTTCACCTTCCTCACCACTTTCTTCACCTTCCTCACCACTTTCTTCACCTTCCTCATCACTTTCTTCCTTGTCACTCTCTTCCTCTTCACCTTCTTCTTCACTATCTTCCTCTTTTTCACTTTCCTCACCATTCTCTTCTTCTTCATCATCATCTTGCTCACCACTCTCTTCACCTTCCTCACCACTCTCTTCATCTTCACCACTCTCTTCACCTTCCTCACCACTCTCTTCATCTTCACCACTCTCTTCACCTTCCTCACCACTCTCTTCATCTTCACCACTCTCTTGTTCACTTTCTTCATCTTCCTCAATACCCCCTTCCTCAACATTTTCTTCCTCATCTTCACCTTGTTCATTACTTACTTCCTCTTCTTCACCACCCTCACCACTCTCTTCCTCCTCTTCACCACCCTCACCACTCTCTTCCTCCTCTTCACCACCCTCACCACTCTCTTCCTCCTCTTCACCACCCTCACCACTCTCTTCCTCCTCTTCACCACCCTCACCACTCTCTTCCTCCTCTTCACCACCCTCACTCTCTTCCTCCTCTTCACCACCCTCACTCTCTTCCTCCTCTTCACCACCCTCACTCTCTTCCTCCTCTTCACCACCCTCACTCTCTTCCTCCTCTTCACCACCCTCACCACTCTCTTCCTCCTCCTCTTCCTCCTCTTCACCACCCTCACCACTCTCTTCCTCCTCCGCTTCACCACCCTCACCACTCTCTTCCTCCTCCGCTTCACCATCCTCACCACTCTCTTCCTCTTCACCACCCTCACCACTCTCTTCCTCTTCACCATCCTCACCACTCTCTTCCTCCTCACCACTCTCTTCCTCCTCTTTACCTTCCTCACTGCCTTCTTCTTCCTCTTCACCTTCCTCACCTTCTTCTTCCTCTTCACCTTCCTCACCTCGTTCTTCCTCTTCAACTTCCTCACCTCCTTCTTCTTCCTCTTCACCTTCCTCACCATTCTCTCCCTCCTCACCAGTCACTTCCATCTCCTCCTCACAATTCTCTTCTTCGTCATTGCCATTCTCTTCCTCCTCACTCCTCCCTTCCTGCTCAACAACTTCCTCATTCTTGATTTCTTGCTTGTCACCATTTCCCCCACTCTTCCTATTTTCCTCAACATCTTTACTACCTTCTTCTTGACTCTCCCCTTCCTGCTCAACATCTTCCCTCCCATCTTCCTGTTCAGCTTCATTTCCATTCTCCTGTTCCTCCTCTGCTTCTTCCCTACTCTCTCCTTCCTCACTCTCGTCATCCTGCTCCTTACCATTTCCCCTACTTTCTCCTTCCCCCTCAGTCTCTCTGTGCTGCATTTCAACTTCTTGTTCGGCTTCACTTGTATCCCATTCAGATTCACTCCTTTCTTTTTCAACCGCTCCACTTTCATCCTTTCTTCCATTATTTACATGTTTTTTCTTTCTCGACATTTTCTCACTCTCTTCCTCCTCCTCTTCACCATCCTCACCACTCTCTTGCTTCTCACAACCCTCATCACTCTTTTCCTCCTCAGCAATCATACTTTCCTCAGTCTCTTCCTTGTCTGCAGCCCCACCCTCATCCACTGCCTCGTCCTCCTCAAGCTCTTCATCATCTTTAGCTCCACTCTTGTCAGACTCTTCCTCTTCAGCTTCTTGCTCGTCTTTAGCCTCCTCTTCCCCAGACTCCTCCTCATCTTTAGCCTCTTCCTCCTTAGCCTCTTCATTGTCAACTATCTCCTCAGCCTGCTCATCATTTTTAGCCATGCTACCCATGACCTCTTCCTCATCTGCAGCCAGACTCTCCTCTGCCTCTTTATCTGCTGCTGTGTTCTCCTCGGGCTCTTCTTCAACTACTACTATGCCTTCCTCAAAAGTCACCATCCTTTCCATGGCCATGGCTGCTTCTTCAGCTACCTTGTCAGCTTCTTTCATATCTTCATTTACACCTCCCTTAGGTCTTTTTGCCACTTTCATTACTTTATTCTTCAATTCACTTTCTTTTTGTATTTTAAGATTAACATTTTCCTTTAAGCCATTCTTTATCTTGCCTCTAAAATTTCTATATATTGGATTTACCTTCTCCTCTCCTTCCTGTTCCATTTCACTATCTAAAGGCTTTTTTCGAACACTGTGTTTTATTTCTTTATGTTTCTTGAACCTTTTATTTCTATCTTTCACTTCCATTCTATTGGTGATGTAACTATCTATATGTTTACTGACAATGCTTGTAGTTTCTTCTTTCATTCGCTTCTGCAGTGTTGCTGCTCCATCTCCTTCCAATGTTTCATTGTCAGACACATGAATAATTTCTTTGAAAGATTTACTTTCTTTTATTAAACTAGTGTCTTTGGAGTCTTTTTCTGTTCTGTGTTTACTAGTTTTGTCATTTTTTTGAGCCATTTTGCTGTCCACAAGAATTTTCGCATCATTTATTTTATGACCGTCACCCAATTGAATTTTCTTTCGTGAGGTGGATGATTTAACTTTGGTTAAATTATTTTCTTTGCCAACTGATTTGTTTCTGATATGTTTTCCATCTTGAACAGCTTCAAGCACACTCGCTGTGCCCAGGTTTAACCTTTTACATTTTACTGATTTTTTAACAGGATACTTAATATTAGAATTGGTGTTACTTTGTTCACCCTTACCACAGCTTTTACCCTTCTTCTATTCCAGGTGACAAGCAGTGAATGAAAAGAAGAAAGGAAAATTATAGTGAATGAAATTTAAAAAATATATATATAATCCACAGTAAGTTAAGGTTTTGGAAAAACAGAGACAAATATTAAACAGAAAAATAAGCATGAAAACAGATAAGAGTCTATAATATGTGAATGGATGAAAATAGAAAGATTGGAAACTTCATTAGGTAGCTATAAAAACAAATATAATCTTGTCAGCTCATTGATGAGTTTAAGTAAATATTTCAAATTATCTGCAAGAACAGCAAAGCTTGTTTAAGGTTAATTTCTTAAACTACATGCCACAATGTTTTGCATTTCATTTATTGACTTGCAAAGTTTAAGACTTAAAGGTACTTTTTCATCTTCATTTAAGTAATCCCTGCTCACCATGATATTGGGGTACTTTGAGTTGAAGTACAAATGCACAACTTCATTTCACTTCAAGAGGTTTCAGTGTATTAGAAAAAGTCATCCCAACTATACATCATGATAAAATATCTACTTCTCAAGTTGTATCGTGGACTACAAAATAGACAGGGTTGGATTATGACCAAAATGGCAGGGTGCTTGATGCAGGTGCTGAAAAAAGGTAGCCAGGAAAAAGTATCCAATGTATGACTTGTACACTCTTAGAAACAGTTTGTCTGTTTTGCAATTCTAAGTGCAGTAATGTAAAGGGAAATATGCATCAAGGTGTGGGCTGTATACCAGGTTTCACAACATTTATTAGTTTTCTTCTGTTAAAGATCATGTCAGAACATTTCAATAGATTCGGTAAAGAGCAAAAGTCTTACCTGTTCCTTGTGAACTGGTGATAAGGTCAGGGTCTTGTCATTTTGATTCACTATCACTGCATGTGTCTAAAGAACATAAATTGTAAGATTTAGNAAAAAAGTTACACAATAGAACATTGAATTAATTTATGAAATGTTTGACTTATAGTTATGAAACAGAAATTTGCAACAGCAACAAATGAGTAAGCATTTTAAAAACCCAAGTATTCACTATCAAATGTGTAATAGTCTCATACTTTGTGAATTTTCTGTCAGCTACAGAAGCTCTATTGAATTTTTTTAAAAACTTTAAGTGTATTACATGGATTCCAATATAACTATATACATATATATACAAAGGCAATATAAACACCAAAATCAATATTCATTTTGAATACTATCCACAGCTTTTTAAACATTTCTGTTTAATATAGTTAAAATGCTGCTTTCAAATCTACAGATGATGATCAAAGGCACAGGCAAAGGTACATTTTGAAAGCAAGGAAAGAAGTAGCAAAATAGATTTGGTAAGAAAGTTTAGGGGTGGTTAAAGGCTTGACAAACGATGGTCAAGCAAAATAAGTGGAGAGCGAGCAATAGACCTGAATTAGAAGAGTGGAGGATTAAAACTTGCTTAAGGTACAACAGAAATTGTATTCCATTTATAAAACAGCCAAATGGATCATTCCAATTTGGCATTGCCTAAATCCTGATGATACTAAAGAGAATATTTTCTAACTGACAAATACCTCCAGGAGTGGCATTAGTCCAGAGAATCTATTTTATTTTCATGTCTATACTGACTTGATGCCCGCAACTCAGCCATATTTTCACAATGCTCTCCTGGGCATCTATTATTGAGTCTCTCTCTTTGCATTGATTATATTCATATTTCTTGATTCTGTGGTGTCACCTTACCATGTTTAGCAAATCGGTTGTGTTACCAAGGCCTTTTTCATTCTCCTCGTCCTCAGATTCGTTTTCGTCATGTTTTTGATCGACTTCTTCTTTGTCCTTCAGAGCTGTAAACAATGCATATCTTTACTGTGTGCCGACTTAGTATTGAGAAATGAGGTAGGAAAATCAAAGCCACTGCTTTATATTGCTTAATCATGTGTGCAAAGCTGTGGGACCAAGTCCCTAGACTGATTATTGTGGTTGTCTGGAGGTAGAAAGGAAGCTAGTGGTTTTCTTTTTGTCAGCATCATGACAAGCCTGCTTATTAAAACCAGGCTTGTACATGTTATGTATGTAAGATATTATGGGTTGATTGCACAAAATGTCATCAATTAAAAATTACATTGTCTCATCTTTATCCCCTGCTTCTTTTTACTGTGCTATCTTTCTGTAAACTATCTAGATTATTTTTGGTAATTTCATTTATAAACATTATAATGCTACACTTGTCAAGTCCATCATTCTGAATTTCCAACCAGGTTTACCAAGATTATAATAATAATGATAATAATCCTTACATTTGATATAGCACCTTATCACTCACCCTGTGGCACCTCAACTTTAATATTTTTTATATACACATTATTAATTTTGCTAAAACACTGGAGTGTTAATCACTGAAACATCAAAATATCACTGCACTATTTGTATTTTTGTAACGGTTTAAATAAACAACTGTAAAATAAACTGTTTAAATAAACAACTGTATGTGTTTTTGAACTATTTAAATAAACATCCAAACATCACTACACTACATCTAAATAAATATTGAAACATCACTATCACTATACTATATAAACATATAAATATCACTTCACTATATCCAAATAAACACCTAAACCCCGCTAAAACCCTGGGGAGATCTGTTTTGGCATGCTGGAATTTCCAGCTACCTTAATATATGTACCATCTTTTTGTGAGAACATACTATACATTAAACTCACCAAAGCAGACCTACACATGGACACTGTGAAGGCTAGCAAGGATGGTGAGGAAGGAAGCTGAGGGCATCATGTCAGCTGCTCAGCCCATTATTGGCACAAACTTGGGAGAGCTGGACCGGCGGGGCGTCCACACACGGGCAATTTTGGGCCCGTGGGCTTTTTAGCCTGCAGAATTTTTGTGATTTTTGGGTTTCGGGCCCGGTCCAGCTAGGTTCAAATTCCAGATACCTGGTAAAATACTTCACAACGTGGTAATCTTTCATTATTCATGTCATTAATGACAATTCAGTCTTGCAGTTATATTATATTACAATGTGATTTTCAATAAGTCATGCTGGCGGTTTAAAGCATGTTATAACCCAATTCATTTTTGTTCTGTTTACATACGGGGAATTGTGTTCCAATGTTAACAGAAATTGTTTCAATTCCTACCTCTTTGGCTCTATGCAACTATATATACTCTAGGTTTATTACCTTTACTGGGAAACGTTGATGCTTCATGGATTTGAACAACATTAGAAGGCTTTGAGGCAATAAGGTTCTCTTTAGAAACTGTCATCCTGGGTAATCGAGGTGGAAATGTCTGACTAGTGGCTGGTAAAGAAGAACTAACAGCAGCTCCCAGGGGAGGTAATGTGCGAAGCATCCGCCCAAACTGGTCGGGCGAGTGTTCCTGAAAACAAGATGAGCAGAACAATCAGGAATTGCAGAGTAATACTATTATGGAAGCAAACACAATGGTTTGGTACACTTTTGCAATAAATCATGTGAAGCTTTTTGATACATCCTCCTGATGTGAATAATGCTATATCAGACACAAGGATTATTATTATTATTTTATTTTTATTATTATTATTAAACAACCATAGAAGCATTAGCGGTAAAGCATCGGTACTTGAGTCTCAGGTTCAACTTTCAGCTCTAACTATATGAGCAAGAGCATTCAACTAGATTAAATGCCCAGCGCAATGAAACACTCTAGGTAGTAATAAAACAAACAATCCTTGCATTTTATATAATGTCTTATCAAGTCATTGAGATGTCTCAGAGTGCTTCGCAGGACATACTGTAAAATGGAGTAACTATGAATTATGAAGGCAAACGCAGCTGCTAATTTGCATACAACAGTGTCCCCATTAACATCCATGGAGTTAATATCCAATTTTACTTGGGGTATTGCTGACCAGGACACCAGGGGAAACTCTTCTCTTTTCAAACAGTGTCATAGGATCTTTAATGTACAACAATAGATGGGTTTATATCCAAGATATAGCAAGCGAGAGGACCTGGGTTCAATTCCCAGGCGCAGCAACACGTTAGGTAAGATTCGTTATTCCACACACCTCTTGTTTACCTAACTGGAAGTAGGAATCCGGTTGTTAGTTGATTGGCGGATTGTTTTCCAGGGCTAATAATTCCTCTCCAAAAAAGTAACGATTTGTTCAGTCAATCTACGACTGCTTGTGGGACACTGCTGTGCACAATTGGCTGCCATGTTTCGCTTTGCAATATATTCTGTGAAGCGCTTTGAGACGTCTCAATTACGTGATAAGGCTCTATATCAAATGGAAGTATTATTATTATCAATATCCGAAGGACAGGAAGAAGGGAGCAGTACTCCTGTTATAAACCAATGCTTTCTTCAGTAAGCAATACAGAACAGCATTCATCAGATCTATAGAGGATGTCATCCATAAACTATCCTGCACTTTCAGCTGAATGAGAATAGCATGCAGCTGACCAACAATAGAAATATTTATTGTAAAGGGGATAAAACAAATCTAAAAGAAATAAAGTAAAACTATCTGAAAGGTGTTAATTCTAACAATAATAAATGCATTTTTTGTACATACCCTTTCTCGCCGTCTAACACGTGCTGATAATGTTCGGTGGAAAGTATTTGATGTAGAAGAGTCATCCAATATCTCAGGAGTGGTACTCAGATAGTTTTCATTTTTGTCTTCATCATCAAGGACAACATTTTCTGTGTCCTTTAGCCTGGGAGCAGCAAGCACTATCATGTGGCATCCTCCACAGGCAACCTGTGGAAATGTCCAGACAAACATGAACAATACTTCTTTTTGTGGACATAAAAACTATTTCACATTATTTAGGGTGTGTTTTTGAGCAGCAGCTATAAAAACAACAGCAGCAAATTTACATTTATATTGGGCCTTTCAACATCAAGAGGACATCCCAAGGCAATGAACAGTCCAGAATTTGCTCTCGGGCTGAGGTGGGAGTGAGAGGATTGGGGAGTGGGAAAGATGACTGAAAGTGTGTCAAAGAGGAAGGAATTGCGATGGATGTTGAAGGAGGTGATGTAAAGCAAGTTGTGGAGATTTCGCAATGAGTTCCAGAGAGTGGAGAAAGGTAGGTTAAAAATCCAATCACAGGTGTTGGGGTGGGTAGGACAGGGAACAACAACAAATTACATTTGGATAGCGCCTTTCACGTCGGGAGGACATCCCAAGGCGCTGGATAGTCAAGGATTTGGATCCGAGCTGTGGGTTGTAATCAGAAGTGGAAGACTAAGAAGATAGGGGTAGGAGGCTGGCCAAAGGCGTGGTTGAAGAGGAAGGTAATGAGATGGGCCTTGAGGGAGGCAAGGGAGAGGGCGAGGCAAAGGGACTGTGGGATGAATTCCAAAGGGTGGGGGTAGAAAGGCCAAAGGCATTTAATGGAATGTGAAGCAGGTCGGTGCTTGCCGAGTGGAGCGCTGCTACAGCAGAATATGAGAAATGTAATATTATACGTAAGATTCCTTTGCTAGTGAGATACCTGAGTTCAATTCCAGGCAGGGCGAAACCTTGGGCAAGTTTCCTTACTCCACACGCCTAATAATAATCCCTCCAAAAACCAAAAACAATAATAAATTGGTCATTTTCAATCTATGACTGTTTGTGGGACATTGCTGTGCGCAATTGGCTGCCACGTTCGCCCACAAATATACAGTCAATTCACTTTACAGTGTGTTCTGTGAAGCGCTTTGGGACGTCCTCCTGACGTGAAAAGCGCTATATCAAATGCAAGGATTGTTATTATTATTATGCTTGAACATTTTAGAATAAAACATTCAAGTACAACATGAATTTTACATCTATTTTAAAGAAAAATAAACACTAGCTGCCCAAACCACAGTGTAAAGCACTTGGAGAAGTACTCCCAGGATGCAAGATGTTATATAAATGTATCAACTGCCTTTTATGCTCTCACTACAAATTTCGGAATTTACGCTGAACTGTGACAGCATTTCAATGGAGAGGAACGTAAAATGTCAATGTCCTTTGTGAAAGACATCTATTTCAAGACCTTTTGTGATCCACATTAAAGGGATATGAACTCTTTTTCTCACTTTGGGGAATGCATTTACTTTTTAATCAAAAACAAAAACTGTACATGGACTATAAAAAAGAAACACTCTATAGATACATGTATATTTAAAAGTATTTTGCATTTTGGCAAACATTCATCTCAAACAAATGTAAAAATCATGTTGACAAGGATTCTTTCTTTGTTCATTTAAACTTGTTTCTATATGCTGTGGCTTGCTTCTTCTATGAATGGTTATGCATTCAGCTCGTGGAAATTCAAGGCTATGCAGCTTGCTTTTTATCCCCTCCAAACGCCGTTTTGTTATTCCAACACATATTATTTCTCAAATGTCATTTGCAGATTAAAGGACTAGAATATAAATGTTTTTCTAAAAAGGCTGATTAAAGCTGCAAGTCATTTGGCACAGAGTGACTTTTTGTTTCACTGCTGTGTTAAATGCCGGATCCACCGCTTAGGACCATCAAGGCTTGTTAATTTTTGCAAACTGAATTGATGTGAAGACCTGGTCTCAGGACTCTGATCAACATTGAATAAAGTGGAAGACAGTGTGGAACCTGCAAGGGGAGTCAATAGCACAGTAGTGTACTTATATTCCTCTGTAATGGAGTAGAATAATGCACAAACAAGGTTTACACAGAATATTTAAATATCAAACAGTTTGCACCCTTTGATTTTTTGTGCTTGTGAAATGATCAATAAGGCTGATGAATGAAACATTTTCCATTTATTATCTAATACAAACACTAAGTATTGCTCATGTTCCTAGATTCAGAATGTGGTCTAATCCAATTTAAAATAGGCTCTAGTGCATATGCCTAAATGATTTTTAAAGAGCTAAATTAGAAATATATTTACAATTATATGGTATTCATGGTTTAAGTTAATTATCCAGTCAACCACTGTGAAGCTATGACTCCACTGAGTTTATTTTTTGAAACTTTGCTAATTTGAAGCTCTATTTATATTCATTCTCCACGCAATCCTGTTAGACTCAGAATGCGATTGATTCTCATGTCAAATGGATAATTGAGCAAAAGAACCAGATCTAGTTATGCCTGAAATCCCGAAAAGCCTTCAGAGAAGTTTAATCGTCATCTTTCTCCCACATCTCCTGTTGTAAATGAAACATTTTTGTTCTTGTTCGAACAATACACACCTGGCATTTGTGTTAATCCCACTGTACACAAAATAAAACACATGTAGGGTTATGTAACAGTAATGCTAGTCAATTAGTGCATGCCAATTTCATGAATAAATCAGCTTAAAATACTGCCATCACTCTCCAATTCTCTTCCTCTGACTTTTTTTTCTCTTTTACTCTGTCATTTTTTCTCCAAGTCTCATTAACTATTTGTCCTTCTAACTCTGTGTGTGTGTCTCTCTCTTTGAGAATCTCTCAGTCTCTCGGAGTGTCTCGGTCCCTATCTGAGAGTTTCTCCATTCCTCTGAGAGTCTCTGTCTCACTCTGAGGTCTCTCTAACACTTTCTATCTCTCTTTATCACTGCAATATCTCTCATCCTAAACTGTGTACTGTAAAAGCATAAACACTTAACCTGTGTTACCAGCAAACACAGTCCTGTTGGTATGAAGTTGCTAGGGTTGCATAGCTGATTTCAGAGCAAATAGAAACCTTGTTCGCGACTTCCTACATGCACACAACAGTTTGCATGCGGTATCTTACAGGCTCTAATCCAATTCTGGACTGGAGATTATGTATACAAATGGGGTATTTTCTGAAAACAATACTTACTGACTGCACTGTGAACTTCAAAAACCTAGAGCAAAGAGTTGGTTTGAACTGATTGGTGAAATTCTCTTCTCCATGTCCCAGCTTTCCATGTCGTCCATCTCCGAAGGTATACAGAAGGCCATTTGCTACCAGGAAAAAACAATAGAAAACAACTCTTTATTTCAGATTACTATACCCAAACAACATACATTATTTGGAAACATTCCCCTACATTTTTTTTACCCCAAGAAGCTTCACACAACCTATTCAGAAACAATGTTGACATGGCATTTTGGACAATATTTATTCTAACTGAAACTGAAGAACTGAGGCTCTGACAAGACCCGAAAGGCTCTGACAAGGCCTCTACTTTTCCACTTACATTGCACTATAACTAACAACTCCTCCATTCTGCTATGTTATTCTTCATAGGTGTAATCAGTGGTCCCAAGCTCAGTATAAAGGGGGAAGAAAAGCAATATTACAACCATTCTTTGGCTGCGATGTTCACCTACAGATACACAGTTATTACACTTTAGAGAAACTCTGTGAAGCGCTTTGATATGTTCTCAATGTTATAGGCATTATATTAAATGCCAGGATTATTATTGCTGTTCTCCAGTCATCTTGGATCTAATCGAAAATCATAGACTCAAGTGTACAATCCATTTATGGTGAATTCTACATCCAAATGCACTGCAGATTTCAACAATAAAGAGTGAATCGCAAAAAATCTATGGGAGCTTTTTAAACAAATACAAGTTTATTTTCGTTGGGAAGACTAAGCTGTAGTTTTTAAACCAATTTTCACATCAGCAACGTCCCAGACTGTGAAGATTATGCATGATCTGCAACAGTTGGGTTTATTTTTGTCAGCTTTCATCTCACAGATATTGAATTCACTCCGGATTTCATTCTCCTATTAAAGCTATTATGGGTGGATCATGGAGAGACGCACTCGGTGAGTAACATCTTTGTAAGCCACTGCAATAAATGATCTTGGGAGACATTTGTCAGAGATAGTTAGGATTCCTAGACAATGTATCTGGGATAGAGGTAACCCCACCTCCCCACCATATTAAATTCTTAATATTTGTCAAAAGAAAGTGCCATTTGGTAGCTGACATGGATGTAATTTTGTTCAATGTTAACTTTGAGTTGGAGGAAGCCCACACTCTGAAACTTGGGATCCTAAGCAGGAATAAAGAAAAACTCACTTCACTGAAGCCTGTGCTTGAAAGTTCAACCAGTATACAATTTTTATTACTACAAATCTAAAGTGAGCCCAGGTAAAATGAATGCATTAGCTATTTTGACCTGAAAAGTTATGACTGCTTTATATTTTATCTATACAGTCTGATTCAGTATGTTCCAAAATTAAAATTGAAAAAACATTTCTCCATTTCATATGCAAAATAATACCAGACTTAGAATGTTTTATATTTATCAGCTGTGTATGCTTCTACTTTTTGTGCACATATCACATTTTTGTTAAAATACACAGACCCCAGGAAGCAATATTGGCAAGTGATCTGATGACCTTCAAGGCAGTCTTTTTTTAAATGACAGGAAACAGTCTGGCTTTCTGCGCACATGCTCAATGAATTCAGCATCACAGACCGGCAATCTCACCCTTGTTATAATGCTGGTTGAAGCTTTCATGGGTCCCAATATCTATGTTCTAACCAGTTTCTACGACACTATTAAATATAGTGATTGTTTTAGTAGGCAAACAGAGTAAACAATTTGTGCACAGCCAGGTCCCACCAAAAAAATGGTGCTATGAGATGAATGACCAATAAATCTAGAGAAACGCCGGATATTGCTGTGCGCAATTGGCTGCCGCGTTCGCCCACAAATATACAGTCAACTCACTTTACAGTGTGTTCTGTGAAGCGCTTTGGGACGTCCTCCCGACGTGAAAAGCACTATATCAAATGCAAGGATTATTATTATTCTCTTTTCGAACAGTGCAATTAGATCTTCAATGTCCAGTTGGACAGGCAGTCACAAACCACTTTAGCACCTGAACTGAAGGATGGTACTTTGTGAAACGCTCTCCCAGTCATGCATTGCAATGTCAGCCTAGACTCGAGCCTCGACATGGGGCTTGAACTCACAACCTTCTGACTTGGAGGCGAAAATCCTAACCACGGAGAGCTGACAACTTCAACTCCTAAATAAAACTTAGAAAGTAACATTTCTTTGTGTTGAATGTTTCTGATGATTAACACAAAACATATCACATACTTGTCACTACGGCAGTATGATTCTCCCCACAGGAAATATACTGCACTTCCTTCTTCTTCAATCGTTCGACCACTTTTGGCACAGAGGATTCAAAAGTGAATGTACCATGTCCCAGCTGCCCAAATTGGCCAAGGCCAAAAGTGTATACATTATCCTCTGCAGATAAAGAACAAGCAGCAGAATGAAACTGCTCAAAAGAGCACAAAACATTGCTGTCAAAACATAAAACCCGTCAATTTTCTACTTTGTAACCCACTCTCATCTTACAGCAGTCACGAGTGATTTATTCCTCGTAACATATTTCATGTGTGTTTGTGTGTGAACAGATTTCAATTTGAAACATTCGCAATCAAAGATGTGCTTAGACAATTATCACCCAATACATGCAGCATCTAAAAGTAGGGAGATAATGGATCATCACAGGGAACAGAGGAGACTGTACCCTGAAGAATCACTGGAGGATCCATTGCACAGGAACACTGCTCCAAGGATTATGCATGATCTGCAACAGTTGGGTTTATTTTTGTCATCTTTCATCTCACAGATATTGAATTCCCTGCAGATTTCATCCTATTAAAGCTATTATGGGTAGATCATGGATAGATGCACTCAGTGTGTTACATCTTTGTAAACCACTGCAATAAACAATCCCTAACAGATGTCTCACAAGATTGTTAGGATTCTTAGAATTGAAGTATTAAGGAAGGGATTTGTTCACTCAGAGGGTCGTTGGGACATGCAGCCATTACAAGTCACTGCTGAGATTGGATCAAATTAATTATTCAAAAGAAAATTGGATACGAACCTGAGAAGTAAAAATACTAAGGTATATGGGAAGGAAGTTTAATAAAAAGTAAGTTAAAAAATAGGATGGGCTAAATGACCCCTTTCTGTGCCGCAAATTTCTATTGCTATGTAAGACCATTAAAACAAGAAACAATCACGAGACCAAAGCAATCAGAACATCAATAACTTACAATCTTAACTCTGAGATATCAAAACTAAAACAACCAGATCCACAACTGCAGCATCTATCCATATTTTATAAAAAACATAATCCCAAGCTTGTCTGAGCAGGATAATAGAAGCCCATGTGTGATTTGCACAATAGAAAGTAAATCTACTTGTTAAAGTGGTGAACATACCTGTAAGAATGACTGTATGGCTTCCACCACAGGATACCTGAGTAACTTTGCCTGAAATATCAGGGATATGCTGTGGGATCCGGTGATTGTTTTTCTGACAAAGTGGAAAACCTAGCTTTCCATTGTCAGATTCTCCAAATGTATAGAGCTGTCCGTCATCTGCAAGGAATCAAATTGAACTGTATTGTAACAACCCAACAACTCATGGCCCTGCTCCAGGTTATCCTGTGTACACAGCAATTACTGGCTAGCTGATTCAACATTTATGAAACTGTTTTGAAATCAATAATCAGGTGAAACTGTAGAAAATGGACACAGGACACAAATATAAAACTGTGCAAAATGCCTCGTCAGAGAGAGCACAGCAAGATCAAAACTATAAAGTTACAATTTTATAGTTTGCAGCAATAATTCAGAAACAATTCTACATTTCCATTGATTTTGCTGTTAACAACAACAACAACAAAATTACATTTGTATAGCGCCTTTCACGTCAGGAGGACGTTCCAAGGCGCTGGAATACCTGTTACCAGAGCAGAGTGGTAGTAGCCACAGGAAACCCATGAGATTGACTTCCCAACATCCACATGATGAGGCACATTGACGGTGCTTTCAGAACCAAGGCCAATCTGTCCCTCGGAATTATCACCCCATGTGAAAAGCTTCCCATCCTCTGAACAACAAAAAGATACAATCAAACAAACTATAAACACAAAAAACTCTTGTGAAATCTTACTCCTTCCAATAACATAATGAAAAGGGAATTTCAATCTGTTACTGTTAATTGGCACATTATTGCAAAATAAGGCCAGTCGATGGCTTAACTTGCTTTTACATTACTAGTTTGTCTCCAGAGGCAACAAGCAATCTATATTGGGAGGCTTTGTCAGCTCCAGATCAGACAAAACCCCACTAGGAGTCAAATCTCTAGTTGCTACTGCATATTGGGAGGTCCAGCTTAATGATATAAAGTTGCTGAGTTGGACAAAGTATACATGGTGACATTCAATGATAATAATTCTTGCATTTGTTATAGTGCCTTTCAGTTCTAAGAGTGTTTCATAGGATTCATTGTAAAATGTATAGACTGTATTTTGTAGGAAAACCTGAGACAGAATGAAATTGTTCCCTATGGAGAGAGAGAGACATCCCCAGTCGATTCGCCTAGAATGCATTCCTTTAAATTGCGACATGGGATAAAATCATTAGATTTGTATTTAATTCTAATTTCCCCCTCATTAATAGAAGCCTGGACCATCAGATGAGCATCTTTGCAAAAAGAACACAACAAAAGAAGAGCAATGATATGCAAAGTAGGACACAATATATCCCCACACTGTTTGAGTTGTGCGCATGTCCAGTGACTGATGATAAACAAAGCACTGATGCAGTATCAAAATATCTCACCAGTCAAAGCTGCCGAAATATTGGACCCAGCTGATAATTGTTTAACCTTGTGTTTATCTGTGAAAAACTCTATTTGCTGAAATGCTGATCTTTCTTCTGTATCTCCGAGACCCAACTGTCCTTCATTATTGCCACCAGCAGCATAAACATTTCCCTGCTCTGAAACAGACACATTGGTTATTTTTGTATCCATTGATCTCAGAAATTCATTTTCTGTTGTTTTGGATCTGATATTTTGCTTATGTACCAAAGCTTGATCTTAAACAAAATCTTAACAAGCACTTATGTTGCATCTTTCATGTGGGATAAAATCTTAAAGCACTTTACAAAAACAATATGAATCACTGAGCAATGTAGAAAGAGTGGATTATGAGGGAAATCACTGAAAACGCTGTTAAAAGAGGTAGACGTTTAAAAGGATTTTGAAGATGGGGAGACAAGGCATAGGATGGAGATTTTGAAAGAGAGTTCCAGAGTATGGGGGCATAGTTGCTGAAAGCTCGGTGAGCGATAGAGTGATGCAGAGGTCATGCAGCGGCCCGATTTGGAGGAGCAGAGGATTTGAGTGGGAAAGTGGTTCTGAAAGAGGTTGCAGGGATATAGTGGGGAAAGAACACGGAGGCATCTGAAGATCAGAACAAGGATTACAAAGGGAAAAGAGAGTGGGGCTGAGGTCAATAGAGGGAACATAAACAAAATTCTGAATGTAGGAACACTCTCCTGGAGCTATATTTTAAAAGCCTTACTTAAAGCCAAGCAATATCTTCTCTATCACCACATACATTTTATTGGAATGTATAAACAAACCTGTTAGCCTAGTTCACTGACAGTGTCAAGTCCAAATTAATCTTGACATATTGCACTGTGCAAAGTCTCACACCAATACCATTGAGGGTAAATCTAGGAGTAGGCAATGCCAGGCGTGTTGGCACGTTCCTGAATAGTCTGGCTAACACAGTAGGAATTAATTAACTATTAATCTGCCACTCATTAATACAGGTTTGCAACCAGAACTAAATTTCTGTGCTGTTAAAGGTCTTAAGATGTACTACTGCCAATTTGTCTGAATACCCAGCATCTAACATACCCGTATAGACCAAAGTGTGATTTCTTCCACAAGCAGCCAGTCTAACTTTCTCCGGCTTCAATGCTGAAATGCAATAAAAACAGATTTAATATATGTAAAATAATCAGTTCTTATTTTAAAGTTGCAATAGTCTTTTTGCTGTGATGGAAGTTTGTTTTATTTTCTTTCCACATCATATTTGTACAGATCAGTTACACTAGAAATGAACAGCACTCTCAAACACTTACACCTCTGTAATAATAATCCTTGCATTTGATATTGCGCCCTATTCTGTAACATACTGTCATTTCATCCTTTTTAATGATATTTAAATACAAAAATACACGGTGACTAAAAAGTCACGATTCCATTACAATGCCTAATACGTTTTAAAGAAATTATGATTTTTTGGTCGCACTGTATATTTTAAGTGTTTTTTTTAAATCAGCAAGCAAGCTAATTTGCTATTTTTACTGTACTTTTAAAATGTTACATGTTTGCCGAACCAGTTCTCCCGTGATTGAGCCTCCTCCCTCAGTTTATGCCATCAACTGATGTGCTGAAGCAATGATATGAATTTCCTCCAGGTGGCAGCATTTTACTACAAAATGATAGCAGAACTTTCCCTTTGCTCCTGCATAAATATACACAAAGACCATTAACTCTTGATAATAAATTCTTTACCATTGTCAAGCAAATAGTATATTACAGATGCTTTGTGTAGTACTATATAAAACATCAGCAGGTTGTTAATAGCAAAGACTATTTCTAATGACTGGCAAATAACAACGATTACATTTGTATATTTATATTTCATGTCGGGAGGACGTCCCAAGTCGTTGGTCAGTGTATAGCATTTCAGACCCGAGCTGGGGTCAGGGGGGGTAAGGGAGGGGAGGGGAAGGGGTGGTAACCGATGGCATGGTCGAAGAGGAGGGTTTTGAGGCGGGACTTGAAGGAGGCTAAGGAGGACCAGGATATTGAACTGGATCCTCTGAAGGATAGGGAGCCAACGGAGTCAGGTGAGAATGGGGGAGATGGGGTCATGAAGTTTGGTGTGGGACAGGACACGGGCTGCAGAGTTCTGGATTATCTGCAGCCTGTGGGCGGAGGAGATGGGAAGGCCGACAAGCAGGGAGTTTGCATAGTCAAGCCTGGAGATTAAATAAGATTTAATTCAGCTGGACGCAAGATATTGCATACAGGAAATAAAATAGGTGACACATGTACTCCATGGATTGGATAAAAATTGCCAAGGGGCAAGCTGTAAGTCACCTAGATTTTAGTTCAATCATTGCTCCCCATGTCAAAACAGAGTGAGGTAGCAATAAAAGGGGGAAATAACATGCTGGGTTTTATTGCCAAATCATTGAGTTCAAATGCCCAGAAGTAATGCTCAAGCTGAACAGGGTTTCACTTAGACTGGCTCTATGGAGGCACATCTGGTAAAACCAGACTGGTCTGCAGTTAACAACAACAACTTGCATTTATATAGCACTTTCCACTCAAGGCAGCATCTCAAAGCGCTTTAATAATAATAATCCTTGCATTTGATATAGTTTTCTTACTCCACACACCTAATAATAATCCCTCCAAAACAATAATAAATTGGTCATTTTCAATCCACGACTGTTTGCAGGACACTGCTGTGCGCAATTGGCTGCCGCGTTTCGCCCACAAATATACAGTCCATTCACTTTACAGCATATTCTGTGAAGCGCATTGAGACGTCTAGAAGACGTGAAAAGCGCTATATCAAATGCAAGGATTATTATATTATTATAGCCCCTTATCACAACGTTGAGACGTCTCAAAGTGCTTCACAGGATATACTGTAAAGTGGAGTGTGTATTTTATGGGCAAAACGCACCAGCCAGTTTCAAACGGGAATGTTCCAGAAACTGCCTTGGAGTGAGTGACCAATTTTATTTCAGAGATTGTTGGTCAGGATGCTGGGAGAAACTCCCTTCTGTTTTTGAATAGTGTCATGGGACTTCAACATCCACCTGAACAGACAGACTGGACCTCAGTTTAACATCTCAACCGAAGGACGGTACTTCTGACAATGCAACATCCCTCCAGCACTGCATCGGGATGTCAGGTCCAAATATTATTAATAGTTCACCAGCCTAATCTGGCACATCAATGAGATCTTGAAGGTAACAATGTATTCTGAACCCTGGGAGTCTTAAAATGTTAGACGAGCTGGATAAGCATCATAAATATGTTACCAAGTTCCAAACACTGAGTAACAGGACTGACCTTTCACACAAGTGGGTTTGTTGACTGGGTTTTTTGTCCCCAAGCCCAGCTGACCCCAGTTGTTGCTGCCAAAGAGGTAGACCTTCCCATTCTCTGTAGAAAAACAAATGAGCTCTGCATGAGCATTCAGCTTACTTGGAATTTGTACTTCAGACCAACCACGTTTCTCAACCCTTCAAACCTTGGAACTCTCTTATTTACTCGTTCTATTTATGTTTCCCAGTTACATTCCTCTTTGAATTAAATTAACCTCATGGCTGAAGGAGAACACAAGTCTTTTCCTGTGATGTTATCCCTTAAACAGTTACATTAAAAATGCAACAACTCATGAGGGCATATTCAGCAGCAAGGTACACTGATGCTCAACACCTGTCCTTACAATTCTACTGATCTCACTATGTTATCGTGGCAAGGAAAGCAACAGCTCAGTGTTTCTCCAGAGTAAAAACTAAAAAAAAATGAACACCGACCAGCCATCTCCTAGCAACCAGTTATACAGCAACGCTGCTTGGAGCAAAAATAATTTGAAGAAAAAGTACATCGCCAAACAGCAGCTAGGCAATTCGACAGGGAAATAACCTTAACCACATTGCAATTAGCAAACTCAAACAAAGGCTTAACAACTAAAAAGACATGCGCCAGGGGAAAGCCTCAAATATTCACAGGAAAATATCTCACACCTCCCCTGTTTCCTAGAACTTTATTTAAAAGAACTTCTAAATTAGAAACATTTTAAAAGATCACCATAACAGCAGCACTCTCCATCAGAATTGCCTTAATTGTGGCATTCGTGAGGCAAAAGTATTGAAATACATGGACTCCTTTGTTCAGCCTCTGCTCCCCGCAATATTTTCCTGATTTAATGCTACAAGTGAAACAATGAAGGTTACATAAACTCTGTTGTCGGTTGCAAGTACAAAGATGCTTGAAATAAACGTTGTGAAACTGATAACTCACGGGTTACGAGTGCAGTGTGTTCATCTCCGCAGCAGATGGAGATGGCTTTGTCGTTTTTAAACCAGAACTTGCTGGGAATGTTATCAGCAAATTTGCTTTTTCCGAATGTAAACACAGCTCCGGAATCTAGGAGTAAAGCAATGTAAATTGTTGCTATTCGGCAACGTTTGTTTTAAGTCAAAAAGTTCAACTTTCGTACATTACATTTCCTCAACATCTTGAAGTTTTCTCTTACTATCCCTTCAGCTGCAAAAATGAATATTTCAACTGAAAATCTCAGGTATAACTCATGTATGACTGCAATTTTTCTACAGGCAACTTTTTAAAAAGTAAACATGCACTTTCTGTATTTCTCAGAACGATAAAATGCTGCGCAAGTAAAATTTGATTTCTTCCACCTTGAATTTATTTGGTTGTTTAAAATATCACTTGAGACAAGTCACACCAGTTTCATTCTCCAAAGGGCTAAAGGAGAGGCAAGTAGTGTGGTGCGAGTGGTAGAGTTGGGGGCTTTAAGCAAGGAGGGATCTAATTATTTTATTCCAATCACTTCAAATTAACTCAGAAATAATAATGCTACCCAAAAGAGCATATTGCATAATAAATAATTCCACTTATGCTGTTCCCATAAAACTAATGAGAAACAATGTTTTCAATAAGTTACAGAGCCAATCTCTTTGTGTGATTATTCATCACTAACCCTCCCCCACTGCCCCCACACTCAATACAGTGTATTGTATATCAGAGCAATAATGCAGTTCAATGGTCTTGAAGTTGCAAAGACTTCCAAAGAATGTACGGCCCAACCAGTCCGGGTCAGAGATTAACCTTCGCATGAGCTTTCACCCACTCCTTACTCCCTCATGTAAAGGTCTAGCTTCCTCTTGAATGCATCTATACTATCGATTCAACTGCCACCTCAGGCGGCGATGGAATTCGAGCAATGGAGTTACCTCCGTGGGCAAATATTTATAATCCTCTTCATCATGTCCCTTCAGTCCCGCTGCACACTAAAACTCTGATCGAGTTGCCTCAGTAGTCTGTTCAGCAAGTCTGAAAGGTTGCAATCTCATGTGGCTATTGCAACGCTAGGCTGGTGCAGGGTAGCACTCTCGCCTGAGTCAGAAGCTTGTGGTTTCAAGCCCCACGTCAGAACTTGGAATCATATAATATAAGCTGACACTCCAATGCAATGCTGGGGGGATATTGCATTGTCGGAGGTGCAGTCCTTTGGATAAGACATCAAACCGAGTTCCCGTCTGCCTGTTCAGGTGGACGTTAAACTATTCGAAAAGAGAAGGGAGTTTCTCCGGCTGTCCTGTCCAACAAATCCCCCAAATAAAATTGGTCAGTCTCGCCAAAGCTATTTGTGGGACATTGCTGTGTGTGTTTTGCCACGTTGCCCACAAAACACAGAGGTAGGAGGGGGCAAGGCCATGGATGGCTTTGAGAGTGAGGACGAGGATCTTAAAGTCGATCCTCCGAGGGATGGGGAGCCAGTGGAGTCGGGCGAGGGTGGGAGTGATGGGGTCACGGAGCCTGGTGCGCGAGAGGCAGTGCTGGTCATAGCGCGGATGTGGGGGAGAAAGGACAGTTCAGGGTCAAACAAGATACCCAGATTCCTGACAGGCTTTGTGAGATTGAGTGTGTAGCCTGGATGCTGCCAGCGCCTGAGGTACGAAGGGGCTGGCGCGAGCCAATCAGGAGGGCCTCTGTCTTGCTGACATGAGTTGGAGAAAGTTGTCCCTCGTTCAGGACTTGATGTCAGACAGGACGCCAGTAGTCCTGGAGTTGAGGGTGGAGGTAGAGAGATAGAGTTGGGTGTCATCCGCATACATGTGGAAATTTACCTCATGTCTGCAGATGATGTCACCAAGGGGGAGCATGTAGAGGATGAAGAGGAAGGGACCGAGGACAGATCCCTGAGGAACACCGTACGAGACGGTGCGGGGGCTGGAGGAGAAGCCGTTTGCTTCAAAGAAGTGAAGGCGGTGTGAAAGGTAGGACCTGAACCAGTCAAGGACAGAAACTTAGAGGTTGAGGTGGGAGGAGAGGTAATGGAGGATTGAGTGGTCCACAGCATCAAAGGTAGCGGAGAGGTCGAGGAGGACGAGGAGGCAGAGGGAGCCCTAATCGCACATGATCAGGATGTCGTTTGTGACCTTGACCAGAGCAGTTTCCGTGCTGTGGACAGCACAGAAACCCGATTGAACAGATTCATGGGGAATTAGATTAATGGATATGACAATAGACCAACAGTGGCAAACGTTTAAAAATGTCGTGCAAAATTCTCAGTGGTCACATATTCCCTTGAGGAATAAGAGTACCACAGGGAAAGCAGTTCATCTGTGGCTAACTAGAGCAGTTAGAGAAAGTATAAAACTAAAAGAAAAGTCCTATAAAACTGCCAAAAAGAGTAGCAAAACTGAAGACTGGGAGTGTTTTAGGGACCAACAAAGGAAAACCAAAAAGTTTATTAAGAGTGAGAAAATGGATGATGAGGGCAAGCTGGCTAGGAACATTAAGACAGATTGTAAGAGTTTTTATAAATATATTAAGAGGAATAGGCTAGCAAAAGTAAACGTGGGTCCATTACAGGCAGAGACAGGAGGAATTATAATGGGGGATAAGGATATAGCAGAGTCCCTAAATAAATACTTTGCTTCTGTCTTCACGTTAGAAGACATAAGAAGTTTACCAGAAATAAGAGATGAACCAAGGGGCTAATGACAGGGAGCGACTTAGGGAAATTTACATTAGCAAAGAATTAGTCCAAGGGAAATTATTGGCATTAAAAAGTGACAAGTCCTCTGGACCTGATGGACCCGATTGCATCCTAGGGTTTTAAAAGAGGTAGCTCATGAGATAGTGGAGGCCTTGTGTCTGATCTTCCAAAATTCTTTGGATTCTGGAACGGTTCCCATTGATTGGAAGATCGCAAACGTCATACCATTATTTAAGAAGGGTGGGAGAGAAAAGATGGGGAACTGTAGATCAGTTAGTCTGATATTGGTGGTAGGGAAAATTCTGAGAAGCCTTAATTAAGGATGTCGTAGTGGGATACTTAGAGGATCACAATATGATTAGACAGTGTCAACATGGCTTTACAAAAGGGAAGTCATGCTTAACAAATCCTTTAGATTTTTTTGAGGACATATCAAGTAGATTAGAAAGGGGTTAATCAGTGGATAATAATAATAATCCTTGCATTTGATATAGCGCTTTTTTATGTCGGGAGGACGTCCCAAAGCGCTTCACAGAACACACTGTGAAGTGAATTGACTGTATATTTGCGGGCGAACGTGGTAGCCAATTGCGCACAGCAATGTCCCACAAACAGTCGTGGATTGCCTTGGAGGGGGTACAACGTAGATTCACTAGGTTGGTACCAAGGATGAGGAGGATGAGTTATGAGGATAGGTTGAGCAATTTAGGCCTATATTCTTTAGAATAGAGAAGAAATGAGAGGTGATCTTATAGAAACTTATAAGATTATTAAGGGGCACGACAGAATAGATAGTGGGAGACTTTCCCTGTTTGGAGAAACTATAACCAGGGGTCACAGTCTTAAAATTAGGGGTAAGTCCTTTGGCACTGAATTGAGGAAAAATTTCTTGATTTAGAGGGTAGTGAATTTATGGAATTCTCTACCCCAAAGGGCTGTAGATGCTCAGTCCTTGAACATATTCAAGACTGAGATTGATAGATTTTTTGTAGATAAAGGGATTAAGGGATATGGGGAGAAGGCGGGTAGGTAGAGTTAGAATAGATCAGCCATGATCTTATTGAATGGCGGGGCAGGCTAGAGGGGCAGAATGCCTACTCCTGCTCCTAATTCTTATGTTCTTATGAAGTGGGAGGAGAGGAAAGAGTGAAGCTGGGAGGCAACGGCTCTCTCAAGGATCTTGGATAGGAAAAGGAGGCTTGAGATGGGCTGGTAGCTGGATAGCTGTGATGGGACAAGGGAAGTTTTCTTCAATGTGGGGGTGATAATGGCCGATTTGAGGGGGAAAGGACCAGTGCCAGATGACAGGGAGAGGTTGATGATGTCGGCGAATAGTGGGGCAAGGAGGTGGAGCTGGGATTTAAGGAGAGGGGTGGGATGGGGTCCGAGGAGCAGGTGGTTGGCTTCATGGAGGATATGGTGATGAAGACAGAGAAGGGGTTAACAGATTCAAAGATGTGAAAGAAGGGATGGGTAATTGTCGGAGTATGGGGTGGGAGTAGGGAGGAGGTGGAAGTTAGGAGGGCAGTGGCAGCTGAGCGGATTCTCTCGATTTTGGACTCAAGGAAGTCCAGCATTTCCTCGCAGTGGGAGTCAGAGGAAAGAATCTGCGAGGTGTGGCGGGGAGGGCGGAGGAGCCGGTTGGTGGTGGAGAACAGGAGCCTGGGGTTGCCCTTTGCCTCCAGGATTAACCTGGAGTAGAAGGACGATTTGGCCAAGGCGAGAGGAGCAGTAGGTCTTGATGAGGTCCAGCCAGATGTGGCCGGATTTGAGCCAAGTGTGTTCGGCAGCCCGCACCGGGCCCTTGAGCGAGCGGAGGGGCTGGTGAACCAGGGTGAGGATCGGGAATAGGAGGCGTTCGGGAGGTGAGGGGGGGGGGCAAGTGGGGTGGAGAGGATGCTGTGGAGAAGAGTAAACGCAGCGAATGGGTTGGTGCGAGAGGTGGGTCATAGCCACCAACCACAGCATCGACTGCAGCCACCGCAACCACAGTCACACCTGCACCACCACAGCCACAGTCACAACCACAGCCGCAGTCACACAGTCACAGTCACACAGTCACAGCCACAACCACAGTCACAGCCGCACCAACCACAGCCACAGTCACACAGTCACACAGCCACAGTCACTCAGTCACAGTCACACAACCACAGTCACACAGTCACAGTGACACAGTCACAATCACTCAGTCACACAGCCACACAGCCACACAGTCACAGTGACACAGTCACAATCACTCAGTCACACAGCCACACAGTCACACAGCCACACAGTCACAGTGACACAGTCACAATCACTCAGTCACACAGCCACAGTGACACACAGTCACAGTGACACAGCCACAGTCACACAGTAACAGTCACAGTCACACAGTCACAGCCACACAGTCACACAGTCACAGCCACACAGTCACAGCCACACAGTCACAGCCACAATCACACAACCACGGTCACTCAGTCACACAGTCACACAGCCACACAGTCACAGTGACACAGCCACAGTCACACAGTCACAGCCACACAGTCACACAGTCACAGTGACACAGTCACTCAGTCACAGCCACAGTCACACAGTCACAGCCACAGTCACACAGTCACAGTGTCACAGAGTCACAGAGTCACAGCCGCACAGTCACAGTGACACAGCCACAGTCACAGAGTCACAGTCACAGCCGCAAAGTCAGTCACAGTCACAGTCACACAGTCACAGAGTCACAGTCACAGCCGCAAAGTCACAGTCACACAGTCACAGAGTCACAGTCACAGCCACACAGTCACAGCCACAGTCACACAGTCACAGTCACACAGTCACAGTCACACAGTCACAGCCGCAAAGTCAGTCACACAGTCACAGCCACAGTCACAGAGTCACAGTCACACAGTCACAGTCACACAGTCACAGCCACAGTCACAGCACAGTCACACAGTCACAGCCACACAGTCACAGCCGCAAAGTCAGTCACACAGTCACAGCCACAGTCACAGAGTCACAGTCACAGAGTCACAGTCACAGCCACAGTCACACAGTCACAGCCACAAAGTCAGTCACACAGTCACAGCCACAGTCACACAGTCACACAGTCACAGAGTCACAGTCACAGCCACAGTCACAGAGTCACAGTCACAGCCACAGAGTCACAGTCACAGTCACACAGTCACAGCCACAGCCGCAAAGTCAGTCACACAGTCACAGCCACAGTCACAGTCACAGCCACACAGTCACAGTCACACAGTCACAGCCACAGTCACAGAGTCACAGTCACAGCCACAGTCACAGAGTCACAGTCACAGAGTCACAGTCACAGAGTCACAGTCACAGTCACAGCCACAGCCGCAAAGTCAGTCACACAGTCACAGTCACACAGTCACAGTCACAGCCGCAAAGTCAGTCACACAGTCACAGCCACAGTCACACAGTCACAGAGTCACAGTCACAGCCACAGTCACAGCCACAGTCACAGAGTCACAGTCACAGCCACAGTCACACAGTCACAGAGTCACAGTCACAGAGTCACAGTCACACAGTCACAGCCACAAAGTCAGTCACACAGTCACAGCCACAGTCACACAGTCACAGTCACACAGTCACACAGTCACAGCGTCACAGTCACAGCCACAGTCACAGAGTCACAGTGTCACAGTCACAGAGTCACAGTCACAGCCACAGTCACACAGTCACAGAGTCACAGTCACAGCCACAGTCACAGCCACAGTCACTAGAGTCACAGTCACAGCCACAGTCACACAGTCACAGAGTCACAGTCACAGAGTCACAAGAGTCACAGTCACAGCCACAGTCACAGTCACAGAGTCACAGTCACAGAGTCACAGTCACAGCCACAGCCGCAAAGTCAGTCACACAGTCACAGCCACAGTCACAGAGTCACAGTCACAGCCACAGTCACAGAGTCACAGTCACAGAGTCACAAGAGTCACAGTCACAGCCACAGTCACAGTCACAGAGTCACAGTCACAGAGTCACAGTCACAGCCACAGCCGCAAAGTCAGTCACAGAGTCACAGTGTCACAGTCACAGAGTCACAGTTACAGCCACAGTCACACAGTCACAGTCACAGAGTCACAGTCACACAGTCACAGCCACAAAGTCAGTCACACAGTCACAAGAGTCACAGTCACAGAGTCACAGTCACAGCCACAGTCACACAGTCACAGCCGCAAAGTCAGTCACACAGTCACAGTCACAGTCACAGCCACAGTCACAGTCACAGCCACAAAGTCAGTCACACAGTCACAAGAGTCACAGTCACAGCCACAGTCACACAGTCACAAGAGTCACAGTCACAGCCACAGTCACACAGTCACAGAGTCACAGTCACAGAGTCAGTCACACAGTCACAGAGTCACAGTCACAGAGTCACAGTCACAGCCACAGTCACACAGTCACAGTCACAGAGTCACAGTCACACAGTCACAGCCACAGTCACAGTCACACAGTCACAGTCACAAAGTCAGTCACACAGTCACAAGAGTCACAGTCACAGAGTCACAGTCACAGAGTCACAGTCACAGCCACACGGTCAGTCACACTCACACAGTCACAGTCCGCGGTCTCATAGCGGTCTCGGGCGACGGGTTTCTATTGAGATCAAACTAACGCTGTGAGGGTTTCCTCCTCCTGTGACTGACACCGACTCACAGCTCCGAGTCTGTCACTCACCGGGAAGCTGCTGCTCGGGCTGCGCCGCCATGTCTCTCCGGAAGTAAACAAACCCGTCACTCGGTTAGCAACCGCGCACTTCCGCTCAGCGACAGGGCAACAGCACCACCCCGTGGCCTCCCTCGGTCACTACAGCACCACCCCGTGGCCTCCCTCGGTCACTACAGCACCACCCCGAGGCCTCCCTCGGTCACTACAGCACCACCCCGTGGCCTCCCTCGGTCACTACAGCACCACCCCGTGGCCTCCCTCGGTCACTACAGCACCACCCCGTGGCCTCCCTCGGTCACTACAGCACCACCCCGTGGCCTCCCTCAGTCACTACAGCACCACCCCGTGGCCTCCCTCAGTCACTACAGCACCACCCCGTGGCCTCCCTCGGTCACTACAGCACCACCCCGTGGCCTCCCTCGGTCACTACAGCACCACCCCGTGGCCTCCCTCAGTCACTACAGCACCACCCCGTGGCCTCCCTCAGTCACTACAGCACCACCCGTGGCCTCCCTCAGTCACTACAGCACCACCCCGAGGCCTCCCTCAGTCACTACAGCACCACCCGTGGCCTCCCTCGGTCACTACAGCACCACCCCGTGGCCTCCCTCGGTCACTACAGCACCACCCGTGGCCTCCCTCGGTCACTACAGCACCACCCGTGGCCTCCCTCTGTCACTACAGCACCACCCGTGGCCTCCCTCAGTCACTACAGCACCACCCGTGGCCTCCCTCAGTCACTACAGCACCACCCGAGGCCTCCCTCAGTCACTACAGCACCACCCGTGGCCTCCCTCGGTCACTACAGCACCACCCCGTGGCCTCCCTCGGTCACTACAGCACCACCCGTGGCCTCCCTCGGTCACTACAGCACCACCCGTGGCCTCCCTCAGTCACTACAGCACCACCCGTGGCCTCCCTCAGTCACTACAGCACCACCCCGTGGCCTCCTCAGTCACTACAGCACCACCCCGTGGCCTCCCTCGGTCACTACACCCAGTTCAACTTCTCTCATGCAATGCTTATGGAGAAACTACTTGAACAAGACCAAATGTAAATAATAATAATAATCCTTGCATTTGATATAGCGCCTTATCACACCATTGAGACGTTTCAAAGCGTTTTACAAAATACACTGTAAAGTAAATTGACTGTATATTTTGTGGGCGAAACGCGGCACCATCTTGACCACGGCTCCGGCACCATTCTTTCCTGTGGCGACACCAAGGTCTCTGAGGTTCCACTGTTTGGAGGTGCGGAGATTCTGCTTTCCTCTCTGCAACCAATCAAGGTGGACTCCAGACGCTGGATGTAAGAACGTGTGCTCACACACTCGGACACTGGGTAATACCCTCCAGCAGCTGTCACTCCAATCCTCAGAGTTTCCTCATTGATTATATGGCAGACACCTGTTTCAGTGTGGGGAGGGAGGACTCTGGCTGTGACGCCGATTCCACCTCCAGGTGCTTAGTGACAGGTTAGTGTAGGCTGGAGACCTCCCTCCCTGCAGTCATGTGTTTGTCACAAATCCACCTCAATGATTGATCCTGGACTTTGCAAATGGGCCAGAGAAAGCCTCTTCGCTGCATCTCCAGGAGCTCGTTTCCATAGAGGACTGTTTGCACACAGGTCTTAAATTCCACAGGCTTGAGCTGCATTGAGACTTTGCTGTCCAAACATAGACTGGCAAAATAAATGTGTGAAGGGCAAGGAGGGGGGAGGATTCCTGAAATGTGTGCAGGATAACCCTCTGGATCAGTATGTTTCCAGTCCAATGAGGAAGGAAACAGTGCTGGATCTACTTCTGGGGAATGAAGCAGATTTCAATAGGAGAGCATCTGGATAACAGTGATCACAACATCATTACATTTAGAGTACTTATGGAAAGGGACAAGGAACAATCAAAGGTGAACATACTCAACTGGAACTAACTGGAACTCAACTAATTTCAATTAATTAAAAAGGGACCTAGCCAAGGTGGACTGGAAAGAAAGATTGGCAGGTAAAACAGCTAATGAGCAACAGGAAGCCTTCAAAGAGGCCAGAACAAATATATTGCAGAGTTCGGGGGCAGAACAAATATATTTCCACAAAGGAGAAAAGTAGGGGATCCAAACCTCTCTGGATGAATAAAGAAATTGGGATTAAAATAAAACAGAAAAAGGAGACTTTTGATAAAAGTCATGTCCAAAATACAGAAGATAATTAAATAGAAACTGGAAAATACAGAGTAGAACTGAAAAAGGAAATAAGACAGGCAAGGAGATTGCATGAGACAAGATTAGCTGGTAACATAAAATAGAACTCTAAGGTATCTTATAAGCATACAAAGAATAAAAGGTTAGTCAAAAGTAGGGTTGGTCCAATTAGGGTCCAAAGAGGAAATCTTCTTGAGGAGGCAGATGCCATGGCTGACGTACTGAATGAACACGTTGCATCTGTCTTCACAAAAGAAGAGGATGCAGCCAAAGCTACAGCATTGGAGGAGAGGGCAGAGAAATTGGATAAGATAATAATAAATCGAGAGGAGGTACTGAAAACGTTGTCGGTGCTCAAGGTAGATAAGTCACCCGGTCCGGACGGGATGCATCCTATGTTACCGAGGGAAGTAAGAGTGGAAATAACGGAGGCTCTGGCCACAATCTTTCAATCCTCCTTGGACTGAAAGGTAGATTTTCAGTGGTGGTGCCAGAGGACCAGAAGGTTGCAAATGTTACTAACCTGTACAAAAATAGACAGAAGGATAAATCCGGGAACTACAGGCCAGTCAGCCTAACATTAGTAGTGGGGAAACTTCTGGAGACTATAATCCAGGACAAAATACATTTTCACGTAGAAAAATATAGATTAATAAAGGACAGCCAACATGGTTGTGCTAAAGGCAAATTGTGTCTAACAAGCCTGATAGAGTTTTTTGATGAAGTAATGGAGAGGAGGGATGGAGGTAGTGCAGTTGATATAGTTTATATGGATTTTCAAAAGGCATTTGATAAAGTACCACCGAAGAGACTTGTAAGCAAAATAGAAGCCCACAGTATTAAAGGGACAGTAGCATGAATACAGAACTGGCTGGGAGAAAGCAGAGAGTGGTGGTGAATGGTTGTTTTTCTGACTGGAGGGAAGTGTGCAGTGGTGACCCCCAGGGATCAGTATTGGGACCACTGCTGTTTTTGATCTATATAAATGACCAGGATTTGGATATAGGGAGCACAATTTCCAAGTTTGCAGATGATACTAAGCTAGGAAAATAGTAAACAGTGAGGAGGATAGTAGCAGACTGCACATGGGCATAGACAGACTGGTAACATAGGCAGACACGTGGCAGATGAAATTTAATGTGGAGAAATGCAAAGTGATGCATTTTGGGAGGAAGAATGAGGAGAGGCAATATAAGCTGATGGTACAATCTTAATGGGGGTGAAGGAACAGATAGACCTGGGGGCTCATACAAGGACCGCAAACTTGTCCTCTCCAAATAGGTGGCAGGACAGGTAGATAAAGCTGCTAAAAAAGCATACGGGACACTAGGCTTTATAAATAGGGGCATAGAATACAAAAGTCAGGAAGTTATGATGAACCTTTATAAAACACTGGTTAGGGCTCAGCTACAGTACTGTGTTCAGTTCTGAGCACCACAATTTAGAAAGGATATCAAGGCATTGGAGAGGGTGCAAAGGAGATTTACTAGGATGGTACCAGGACTTCAATTATCAGGAGAGGCTAGAGAAGCTAGAATTATTCTTCTCGGAGCAGAGAAGGTTAAGAGGAGACGTAATATAAGTTTTCAAAATTATGAGGGGATTCGACAGGATGAACAAGGAGAACTATTTCCACTGGCTGGTGGGTTTGTAACCCAAGGGCACCGATTTGAAATAGTTCTGAAAAGAAACAGAGGAGAGGTGAGGAGAAATGTTTTCACACAACGAGTTGTTCAGGTCTGGAATGCATTGCCTGAAAAGGTGGTGGAAGCCGATTCGATAACAACTTTTAAGAGAGAAGTAGGTAATTATTTGGAAAGGACAAGTTTGCAGGGCTATGGGGAGAGAGCAGGGGAGTTGGATTGATTTGGATAGCTCTCTTTGAAGAGCCGGCACAGACACGATGGGCCGAATGGCCTCCTTCTGTGCTGTATAATTCAATGATTCTATGATTGCTCACTCTTATTCTCAGTGAGAAATATTTTGGGAACGCGAGGATCCCGGCATCCCCATGTACAATACAACTGGTGTGCGAGCACTGAAACTAATTCATATTTGTCTGTGATAGCAATACCACTCGATATAATTCTCTATATTCTCATAGAAACATAGAAACAGAAGGCCATTCAGCCCCTCGAACCTGTTCCATCATTCTATAAGATCATGGTTGATCTGTACCTCAACTCTAATTACCTGTCCTTGTCCCATATCCCTTAATACCCAGACCTAACAAATATCTATCCACTACAGTTTTGAAAAGTTGAATGGATCCAGCATCCACAGCCTTTTGGGGGAGCGTTCCAAATTTCTAGTACCCTTTGGGTGAAAACCTGCCTCCTAATTTCACTCCCAAATGGCCTAGCTCTAATTTTAAGATTAATCCCCCTTGTTCTGGATTCCCCATCAGGGGAAATAGTTTCTCTAGATCTACCCTATTGATTCTCTATTATTTTAAAAACCTCAATCAGATCACCCCTCAAACTTCTAAACTCAAGGGAATAGAGACCAAGTTTATGCAACCTATCCTCACAAATTAACCCTTTACGCCCTGATATCATTCTGGTGAATCTGCACTGCACCCCCTCCAGAGCCGATATATCCTACCTGAGATGCGGTGGCCAAAACTGAACTCAGTAGTCCAGATTGGGTATGACTAAGGCTCTATACAATTGAAGCATCATTTCCTTCATATTCCAGCCCCCTTGAGATAAACACCCATTAACCTTTTTGATAACCTTTTGTACCTGTGAGCTTGTTTTTAGTGATTTGTGTTCTTGGATACCCAAATCCTTTTGCTCTTCCACAGTTCTTATTCTCACCATTTAGAAAATACAATACAAAATAACATTTGCATAGCGTCTTTCACATCGGGAGGACCTCCAAAGGCACTGGGCATAACAAAAATATTCTGTGTTGGTATTTTAGATTCATAGTGGATGACATCACACTTCCCCATGTTGAATTCCATCTGTCCACTCACTTAAACTGTCTAAATCCCTTTGTAACGTTGTCCCTTTGTACTCTCTCCAAAAATGAAAAACGTGGCAAATTTAGGAAGTGGAGAGTGAGATCATCAGAAGTGGGTGAAGTAGGGAAAGGATCAAAGATATGGATCAGGTGGAGAAAAAGTGGATTCATATCACCTTAATATTTTCTGTTATGTTCAAACAGTACTTTCTGTTTCACCATTAAAGAAAATACAACAAAGTCACAAAAAATATAACTTCTGGAATTTGAATCTGATATCCTTATTTACTAGAACAAAAAGAACAAAATGGTCTAGAACTACAGACACCAGATTGTAGATGTTACTGATTGATTTTTGCCAACTCCAGCCTAGTGGTGCTACGAACAATAGAATCCACTTCTAGATGGATCACTTGGACTGAGACTGTCACACCCAAAACTGTGAAACTTCCATGTTGGAAAGCACCTTTACCCACTAAGCCATCCTATGAGCCTCCATGCCCTTAAATGTTAACACTGTGCTCTACTGTAGAGGTGGAAAACTAAAAAGCTTACTTTGAATGGAAATTGCTCAGTGTCAGATGAAGAGTTCCGAGATTCTTCTCTCATTTTGATATTTTTAGAGTTCTTGACCAAATTTTCCTTTTGTTGCTTTAGAATTTCAGCAAGTTCAGGGTCTTTAGCTTCAAGCGTTGAGCCTTCGTTATACGATTGACACTGTAAAGGATTCAAGGCAATGTCCAGATGATTACCTGTTTATTACATAGAAATAAAAATCGCAATCATTTGGGAAAAATCATCTATTTTACATTGTTATAGTTATATTTATATTTAGATCACTTGGTCAACTGAGAAGCTTCACGAGTTCTGTCCACTGGAATTTCCCGTGGTCACTCCTTAGCCAACTCATGCCCAGTTTTCTCAGAACTCTGATCATCTTCCCAATTTCCTGACAGAATCTTCTTTGCTCAAATTCCTGGGTCTGACTGTGCATCGCCTCACCCTTGAAATCTTGATTCTGTCCTTGATTGCCCATCCCAGTTTGTAGGTTCCCAGAGGCATTGAGCAGATTGGGGCCTGTCAGACACGATGGGCCAAATGGCCTCCTTCTGTGCTGTATAATTCTATGATTCTATAGATGAGTCCACCAGCAGCACAATATCATCCACTAACAGAAGCGCTTCAATTCTGTCAGAGAGGCCTGGAATAGATACACCAAGTCTTTCCTCCTTTGTGCCATCCAATACATCATTGAAATGCTGTACTCTGACCAGCGCCTTGGGACGTCCTCCCTACATGAAAGGCACTATACAAATGTAATCTTGTTGTTGTTGATATACATTGAATAGGGTGGGTGATAATAGTGATTCCATGACACTATTCAAAGAGATAGGAGTTTCTTCTAGGTGGCAAACAATCCAAAATGAAATTGGCCACTCCCTGTTTGTGGGACATTTCTGAGTGCAAATTGGCTGCTGTGTTTGCCTACAAATACACAGTCACTACATTTTACAGTAAAATCCTATGAAGCGATGACATGATAAGGTGTTAAGGGGTTCTATCAAAAAATTCAAGAATTATCAAAAATGCAAGGATTATTTTCTATCTGGCAGTGATGTTTTCAAACCTTTGGATTCCAGTGCTATAGTGTAGGAGCCCTGTAGCTCAGTGGTTAGAGCACTCGCAAACGAGAGACCTGGGTTCGATTCCCGGCAGGGCGAAACCTTGGGCAAGTTTCCTTACTCCACACGTCTGGCAATGATAGTAATCCCTCAAGAAAATAAAAACAATAATAATTTGGTCACTTAATCCATGACTATTTGTGGAACACTGTTGTGTGAATTGGCTACTGCGTTTCGCCCACAAAATATACAGTCAATTCACTTTACAGTATATTCTATGAAGTGCTTTGAGACATCTAAAAGACACAAAAAGCGCTATATCAAATACAAGGATTATTATCTTATTATAGTGGCAGATACATATGTCACTGCGTGGCTTCCCAATATTTGGTTTGGCACTATCATTAAAGATAGGAATAACTGTTTATCTGTTTTTTTCTTGTTGTGTTTGGGGAAGTATGATCACTGAGTTAATAAATAATAGATTGCACATAGCCAAGGTCCAAAGAACTGGACAGCTTTAAAGGGTCTTCATGCATTTATGGAAAGATTATTTTGAAATAAGACTGTTGCTGATCAGAGTTAAAACTGTATGTTAAGTTTAAGTACAAGGAGGGGGAAAGATCATGTTTGGTCTTGCAGCTCACCCAATTTGATCCACAGACTTTGGAGTGATTGAATGAGTGCAACCAGCAGGAAAATAATGACAGTGGAAAAGAAATTACAACAACAACAAAATTACATTTATAAAGCGCCCTTCACGTCAGGAGGATATCCCAAAGCGCTGAACAGTCAGGTGTTGGGGCCCGAGCATTGGGGAGGGGTGGTGTAGGGGTGAGGGAAGGCAGAGAGGTGGGAGGATGACCAAAGGCATGATCAAAAAGAAGGGTCTTGAAGGAGGCAAGGGAGCAAGTGAGGCGAAGGGACCATGGGATGGAGTTCCAGAGTGTGGGGTCAGAGAGGCTGAAAGCCCGGCCACCGATAGTAGGGCGAGTCAGGTGGGAGACATGGAGCAGACCGGAGCCTGCTGAACAGAGGGAATGGATAGGTTGGTAGGGAGTCTGCAGGTCAGAGAGCTAGGAGGGGGCAAGGCCATGTATAGCCTTAAAGGTGAGGATGAGGATCTTGAATTCGATCCTCTGGGGGATGGGGAGCCAGTGGAGTCGGGCGAGGGTGGGAGTGATGGGGTCACAGAGCCTGGTATGTGAGAGTACACGAGCTGCAGAGTTTTGGATGATCTGTAGCTTGTGAAGGGAAGAGTTGGGAAGGCCAATGAGGAGGGAATTCCCATAGTCGAGCCTTGATGTGACGAATGCGTGGGTGAGGGTTTCGGCAGCCTGAGGGGTGAGGTAGTGGTGGAGTCTGGCAATGTTGCAGTGGTGGTAGGCAGTGCCGGTCATGGCGCGGATGTGGGGGAGAAAGGACAGTTCAGGGTCAAACAAGATACCCAGGTATGTAATAAACTAGTATGTAGATTAAAACCCTGAATACTTTTAGTTGACAGAAATATATCCTGCATAGTTTCTTGTTCCAACTATGTAAATTTGATAGCCTATGATCCTTGTACAGCAGTAAAAAAAATGCTCTCCTGCATTTCTATTATCTTTGCAGGATGAGAAGGTCTTTAATATTAAATCTATTGCAGTGAAATATCTGTACCTACATTTTCTAAATCCTTGCTAATCTTAACATCTGTACCGAATCCCCCCCATTCTTTGTTTAACAAAGCTATTTTATGGTAGTTTTCTCAAAACAATGTACCTTAAGTTCTGGAACAAATGCCCCCCACACAGACAGACAACCACACACTTTTAAAAACAACTGAATGAAGAGTCAAGTCTGTTTTCAGCAACCATTCAGGGAGCTGGATCAAATTGGGCTTTATATAAGGATGACCTCTGAGTAAGGGTCTATTGGTTCATTGAACGGGCTCAAAATTTAAAAAAAACTCTACCGGCCAAAACTTTTTGCAGTCTCATGTGTACACAGTGGAGTCCTGTAACATAGTGGTTAGAGCATTCACCTCACAAGTGAGAGTACCCGTGTTCGATTCCTAGGCAGAGCGATACCTTAGGCAAGTTTCCTTACTCCATACGTCTCTGTTTACCTAGAAGTAAGCAGGAAAACGGTTGTTAGTCGATTGGTGGGTCCCTTTCCGGGGATCATATCCCTTAAAAAAAATTTGGTCACTCAATCCATGACTATTTGTGCGACACTGCTATGCGCAATTGGCTGCCACGTTTTGCCCACAAAATATACAGTTCATTTTACAGTATATTCTGTGCGGTGCTTTGAGACATCACAATGATGTGATAATATTATTATTACACTGCTGCTAGACTCCTAGTGCATTTACTACCATCACCTCACCAGTCTAGTGGGAGTTTACACGCAGGTGGAAATTGGTAACACATTACAACAACAACATTTGTATAGCGGGAGGATGTCCCCAGGTGCTGGAAATTACACTTTAAATCACTTAGAATTGGCCACTGAAAAGGCTCTCTGTTCAGTGACGGGGCTAAAGAGTGGCCACTGGTTGTGTTAGACAAGTGGTTGCTGAATAGACGTATGATCATACAAAATCTGTCTGGGCTGTTCCAGGGCGCTTACTAACAGGGGGCGGTTGCTTGAACATATTCGACTGCAATTTTTATAATTATGCAAAGAGTATTCATGAATATTTCCATAACCAACCAGGCACCTTCAGACACCGGGTTGTAATGCTTGCCCCCGTCACCCGTCTGGCGTTGAGATTGCATCAGATGTGAGATCAGTGAAGCAGCCACTGCTCACTCAGGTCGGGACAGGGGAGACAGCACAGCCTCGGGCACCTCTGCAGCAAGACTCACACACCTGATCCCGGCAGATCTCAGCTGCACCGTCCAACGCCAACATGTTCTTCCCCTTAAGGAAAGTCCTGGGACACGCGGTTTCACTCAGCAAGTTCCCCGTGCGCACACTCCGGTGAGTTTATTTCCATCTCGTTCATGGGAGAGGAGATTCAGTGCAGGTCACAGAGGAACACAGTCAAAGTTCCTCTCGATCATATCCTCGCCCCCCACCCCCCCACCCCCCGTGTGCTGTATTTGGTCCGATTGCTTGCAATTTTGAGCCGACCTTTTAAATGCCGAGATAGTTGTAATATAATCTGCAACACTTGCATTTATATCAGGGCTGAACAGACTCCGGGGCTTCACAGGTTGTATGCAGAACAACTTGAGTTGAAGTGAGAGTCAGCGATATTGTAGTTAGTCAGTGGGTCACAGCTCGATTACACAGCAAGAAATGGAATCCAGTTGCAGCACAGTGCCTGATCAGTAGAACATCACTAGCTGCAAATGTCACATTTCAAACTTTAAAATACAATTATATTGCAAAGAGAGATGTCTGCTTGTCAAAGGGACACACGCCGTCTTCACACGTTTTTATTTGCCGCACAAACCTCATCAAATTAATTGTGTGTGTCTATATTTTTAAAAAGGTTGCAAACGTGACGATATCTTTTAGACAAAAGACATAAAACTGTAAGATTTCTTCTATTTGATAAGTAAGTAAACTTTCCCAACATTTCGCCCTACCGGGAATCCAGGCGAGTCCTCTAACCACAGCGCTGCACACAGTTTTTCTTTGAAGTGCAGTGATTGTGTATTTTTAAGTGAACATGTCAGTCAATTTGCACCCAATAATATCCCACCTAGAGATTTGAAATAAGTGACTTTTTTTTCTCTCTGGGAGAAAAACATATGAAATAGGTGACCAGGAAGAGTGTTTGATCCCAGGTCTGAAATCGCCTAGGGGATTATAACAGCAATTTATACAGCACCCTCCATGCAGGGCAGCATCTCCGGGTGCTTATTAGCTAGAACACTGAGAAAAACTCCCTTTTTTCAGATCGTGTCATGGGATACTTTAAATCCTTAGGGTTAGCGTTAGGACGACCCATCCAAAGGAAGACCCTTTCACAATTTGCAGCCCTCACCTGGAACAGCATTGCACTGTGCTACAAGCTCAAAGTGCTGACATGGTGATTGAACCCACACAACCTCCTGACTCAGAGGGAAGAGTGTTACCACCTAAGCCAGCCTGACGCATATAATTTCAAGAGAATTCTCATTCTTCCACAATATCAACCTTACTGTTTTGCAACAGGCTGACTTGGGCTCAAATACTTTTCCAGGTCACCCATTCCATCTGTTGATTATCCTCTGCGTAAAGAAATACAACCCAATGTGTGTTCTACCATTACGCTACACAATCCTGAACTTATTTAAGAGCAATATTTTCAGTCCCATTTTCATACCCCTTTTAATATACAGCCTGCAAGATGTAAAGGTCACTACTTTCCTGCCCTTTCCCAATATCCTTGAAGCTGACTTCTTTTAAGGTATTTATCTAGATCTGTTTTGAAAAGCAGTATGGATTCTGCCTCAACCACCATCCTAGTAGGCATTCCTTAACCCATGAATAACAACTCTATGTGAAAACAATTCTCCTATCTCCACTTTTGCTCATTATTAACTATTTTAAGACGATACTTACTTTTAGTATGAATAACGTTTAAAAGTTATGATCTAGAAATTCATTGCTTACTGTGGTTTATTATTGGTTATTGTAGTTTACAATGGCCAAATTTTCATATATACCTGTGTTAAGTGGTATGTTTTTCTTTGATGTTTGAACATTTTCCCTGGTGGATGTGTCTTACCATTCATGTAACACAATATGGGTAATTGGATTTTACTGGTTTCAACGTAAAAAATTCCAGCTGTAGAATTTCTGGGGTTAAATCTTAATATTAGATTTGAAACATCTGGATTTTCTGCTTGCAGGCACAGTCACCCTGTTCTAGGTCTCGCCGCATTGAAGGGGCGACACCTCCTCACACTCAAAGATTTTGATGGTGAAGAAATAAAGCAACTTCTATGGACAGCAAATGATCTGAAAATTAGAATAAAACAGAAGGGAGAGGTAACTGTCAGGCTGGTGTTTTTCAGCACTTCTCCCACCCATCTCATTAATTTCTGTAGATCTAGTCCTTCCTTTCAAGTCTTTCCACCCCTTTCTTTCCAATGATTCTTCAAATTGTACTCCAGCCAACTTGATAGTTCATGGCCTGTTAAGTCCCTTCATGTCCTGACACCTCCCTACCTCTCTAACCTGTTCACAACAACAAGATTACATTTGTATAGCACCTTTCATGTCAGGAGGACTTCCCAAGGCGCTTACTCCCCAAACCACAACACGATGCCTCCGGCTGACTGCCTCCAGCCTCCTGTATATCCCTTGTGCCCTCTGTTTCACCATCAGTAGTTGCGCTTTCCTGTAGCTCTGTGGTTAGAGCACTCGCTTCGCAAACAAGAGACCTGGGTTCGATTCCCAGCAAGGTGAAACCTTGGGCAAGTTTTCTTACTCCACACACCTGATAATAATCCCTCAAGAAAACAAAACAATAATAATTTGGTCACTCAATCCACAACTGTTTGTGGGCCACTGCTGTATACAATTGGCTGCCGCGTTTCTCCCACAAATATACAGTCAATTCACTTTACAGTATATTCTGTGAAGTGCTTTGAGACATCTCAAAGACATGATAAGGTACTATATCAAATACAAGGATGATGATTATTATTATCATTTCAGCCACTACGCCCCGAAACTCTGGAACACGCTTCCCCTAGCCCTCTGCCTTGCCCCTTCCTTCCTCATCTTCAGATCATGCCTGAAGACCTTCCTCTTTGACTGTGCCTATGGTCACCTCTCCCAGCTCAGCATCGAGCTCTGCCACTGTCAAGCGCTCTGGGACACTACCCTGCGTGAGGAGCACTATATAAATGCAAGTTGTTGTTGATAGTGCAGACTAAAGTGCGATCAGTACCGCTGCATGACTAGCAGCAGTCTACTCTGTATCAAGCTCCAAATTCCCGCTCCTCCTTACATCAAAGGATTGAATGCTTCACCTACCAGCATTCCAGCATCTGATGAGACGTTAAACAAATGTCTCATCTGCCTGTTCAGGTGGACTTTTAACAAACAGAAGGGAGTTTCTTCCTGTTCATTCAATAATCCCCCAGATAAAATTGGTCATTGACTAAGGGCACGCACGGAAAGGAACTTATTGATGAAATGCTTGCATTGTGTAGAACCTCTCTACATCTGTAGCTTTATCTTCTCAGTACCACCAGTGAGATATTTTCACTTGGAATCTTACACTTCACAATGTAAACTCCTACCTTTTTAAGGTTACAGGAACGAACTGTCGCTTTGGTTGCTTTAAAGGTGGTGCATTGGCTGCTACCTTCCAATAACCGCTAATGAAGTAATGTATCTTACATTCAGCAATTTACAACTGTGGGAACTTGTGTGCTTACGTTAACAGTTGATTATCTCACAAGTTTAGCAAAGAGGACTGTTGCCGTGAGCCCCAATTTCAGTTGTAGCCTAATGGGTATGTGCCATACTCAGGCTCAGCACCTCTTTATGTGGAACAGCCCCAGTGCCTCATTTCTTCCAGTTACTATGGCCTAGGAAGCAGATCTAACCCAATTATGTTTTTAACAAATACATTTTACTAAATAGTGAACCCAAACAGTTGTTTTAGACATTTGAGTGTGGATTTACAATCAACATTTTAAAATATATACCTGTAGTTTTACCATGTATTGTAACAAAATATCTTATTTGAAAGATTTACTACAAGAATTTGTAAATAGCCATTCCCAATGTGTGCAGGTTGTGAAAACTCCACTCCACTATGAGTTTACATTTCAGTTTTCTGCACTTCATAAAAAAAAGCTTCTAAATTAAGACTAAAATGAAGAATTATCTATCCATTCTGCACAATCTTAACAATTAAGACAAAATGGATTTACAGGCTCAGACAGCTTTCTTTTGTAATTGGGGAGGCATTCGGGATATTTATGCTCACAGTGTTTTCTGAATTAACTCAGCTGAAGCAATGGGGTCAAATTTGCAGTAGTTTCTTAACTCGGAATCACAAGATCGCAAGAAAGGTTTAAATGAAGAAGATTTTTCATCCCATTTGATCTCTTTCCCAGAGCATCCATCCTACAGTCTTCCTATCACAGCTTCAACCTGTTTTAACATATCCTGCACCCTGAATGAAAGCTCCTTTTTTGGAATTCTAACCATGTAGCAATTGCCTAAATCAGAAACACAAGGGTATGAAGTGTTTTTCCTGTGTTTTAACTGGCAAATGGCCAACTAGATGCGAAGCAGTGCACGAGTGAGCTGAGTCTTTATGATGTTAACTAAGTAACAGGCACACATTTGGTGTTTTTTTAACCCACTTCTTGTGGTAATTAACACAAGGAATGGGTTAAGAAATGACAGTAAATTTAACCCTACTGCTGCAGTTTTCTGCCACTTATCCTTAACTCTTAGCCCACCCCCTGTGGATCTGTAACAACAACAACAACAATAAATTACATTTGTTTCGCGCCTTTCACATCAGGAGGATGTCTCAAGGTGCTGGAACCATCTTTTCAAATGGAGTTTTGGATTTGCAGTGATATAAGAATTAAAGATCAATGAAATACTGAGTGTTTCATCTGAAGCTTTTAGAGTGAAACAGAATCTGATTTATGGCTGAACCCCTGATTTAATGCATGGATCCAGCAAGTCACAATGTAGGGCATTGAGTAAATAATCATCTTAGGTCTTTGGGTCAAGGAAAACTTTCTAATATCCTAATATTTTATGTTTTACTTGTGGATTTAACAGATTTTATCTTTGATGCAAGGGAAATCCATGGCCATGATATTTGAAAAAAGAAGCACCAGAACAAGAATATCCACAGAAACCGGTGAGCACTTTTTCTCCAATGTACATATTTTACACAATTTTTGCATTATTACTGTGGATATATGAACAGTCTTTCCTGGTTATATTGTTCTGACATCAAAGAAAGTAACTATTCAATAAATACAATGCAATCTACATGTATATAACGCCTTTCATGTCAGGAGCATGTGTCAAAGCCATGAAACAAATCTTAGTTTCTGAATGTTTTTATCAATCTTACATTGTAAAGTCATTCAGAATTGGGGGAACAGCATCAAAGTTATCGCAAAACTTTGGGCTGAATGTGACTATGGTAATCCAAGCACAGATCATTAAGGCATGCACATTACAATTTATATACTGTATATGTGAAGCTGTTCATTCAATGACATAATACTGCTTAAAATAATGTACAGTTAGTTTTAGGGGAAGAATTGGATGGGAGTAATAACAATTCAGAGGTAGTTTAACCAATCACAGTGTAATTTCAGTATTGCTAAATGTGATCATTCATGTGCAATACTTTAGGAGCATTAATGTACAGTACTTTAGGATCGTTAATATACAGTATTTTAGGAGCATGAAAGAATCATTATTTCAGGTGACGGGTATTGAGTACAGCAACTTGTTAACGTTAATGAAATCAAGGATTTAGGATGCTGGGTACTTGTGTGATTTGACTAACTTTACTTTGTAAATATCGCTGAAAGGAATTTACACCAACTTTTTGTGGCCTGAGTAATAATAGTCTATTAGTACCCTGTCTGAATGACAAAAACATTTCAAACTTACTTTGAGCAGGAATCTCCTTTGATACTTGTTGGTATCTCTTCCCAATACACAAACTCGCACCCACAACCTGACATGCCCACATTAAAAAGCCTCTAGAGCCTCCAGCGTTCACAGTTTTATAATTTTGTTCTGCATTTTAGATAGACTGTATTTGTTTTTCAAATAGTGTATTATGTACATTCCTGTTTCAACACAATGAAAACACAGACAATGTGGAATCTGCACATCTCATTCAGCTGTACTAACTCTGACAGTTGTTGAAAGCACATTAGCCTCCACACTGCTGCCTCAAATGTCCTAGGTTTTGCAGGACTAATAATTCATACATTCACTATAGTACCTTCTCACAACAAAATGTCTCAAAGCGTTTCCCAGAGTTTTATCACAAAGTGCAGTGAGCGTATATTTGTAGGTGAATGCAGCAGCCAATATACGCCATGAAGTGAATGAACTCCCGTCTGTTACAATTAGTGTTACAGGATCTTTAATGTCCACCTGGCAGGCCATTGGGACTTCATTTTAATACCTCATCCAGAGAACAGGACCTCTGGCAATGTAGACTCCCCCCTTCACACCCCGTCCCCTCACCCTGCATTGGAATATCACCCTGACTACAAGCTCAGAATCCTGATGAAGACCTTGAACCCACAACTTCTGACCCAGAAGAAAGACTTTATGCTTTTCAGGACAGTCTAATACTTGTCTTCAATCTACGATTGGTTTAGTTAATGATTACTTGAATAAAAAACACACTTCAAAACTTCAGTTAGCAGAAACCTTGAAAAATATTTGCTTATTTCACAAAGGTAATCGACTTTTCAAAGAAGCAATTCAATCATCTGCTCTCTTATCAACCAGCAAGACACTCAGCACAGGAAGGACACATAGTACAAACATGAACAAATGTAAATGTAACATAAAGACATGGATTATAAGTAAAACTGTAGTAAGATAAACAATAATGTTATGAAAGAAGTTCATTTAAAATGATTTTGCAGTCTGGTTGTTTGATTCTGGCACAAAGTTGGTGCTGAATTAGCCCAAAGTTTGCTGCCTACTGCTCTCACCACACTGGGTTATGAAATACAAACCTCCTTGTATGCATGCTTCAATTTGGCTTTGATCCAGATAATAATCCTTTCATTTGCAGATGAACTCAAGCACGAACATGAAAACGTATTTCATTAAACATTGATTTACTACTCGTTCATTAGTAACCACAATTGACAAAGTTCTTGTCTAACCCCAAAAAACAAACTCACCAGTGATTTATGCAAATAGCAACTCACATATGAAGGTTTTAGCAACTATAATTATAATGACAGACTATTGCAATACTATAAACAAAGAAAATAAATGTTCAGTGTTTGAAATTTGCCTTACTACAGTAACTATAGTGTCCGTTCTCCAAGATGCAATGTGTTTCTGGGGAAAGGGGAAACAAATTAGAAATGTTGGTATGTCATTAGATCAGCATTTTGAGCACCATCGCTCAGATCAAATTCCATCCATTGACAGCTGTTGAGACAGACACACTTGACATACAGCCTCCTCCACTTAAATGGCGGAGAACATAGTTTTGGGACTTTGCTGTGATTTATAAGTGATTTTTTTTACATTTTATAACTCGAATTTGGCTCATTTGTGTTTACTTCTAGCTCACCTCCACATTGGTGCATCATAGTTCTCTGTGACCTTTTACGAAAAAATTATCTTGTATAATAATAATAATCCTTACATTTGATACAGTGCCTTTCATGTTAGGAGGGCGTCTCAAAGCGCGTCACAGGATATTCTGTAAAGTCTAGTCACCTATTTTAGAGGAGAATGGTACAATGAAATGACTATGTATTTTTCAGCAAACTATAACAATATAAAGTGATCTAGATACAGCACTGGTACAGTGCAAGCACAGAGCCCATTCCCTCTTACAAAAATTGTACATGGAGTCATTCATCCATTTGCGACTAGTATTTTCTACAAACATTTTGCTGATCTTTGCGAGTTTGTTGGTATCATTTCTAGGAGATGCTGGATGGCTGCACCACTGAAGTATCATTATTGATAAAGAAAAACAAGTCAGTGATACAACAAAATGGGGGGAAAACCTACGTTTATGGTTTATGATGACATTTTTTCTGAAAACACACACAGAGAGATAACCTGCACACAGGTATAAAACAATATTGCTTGCAGCCTATTTTCCATTGGAATATCAGCACCGACATGAATAGAACTGTTGCGGCTGAGATAGTCTTGCACGTCTCTGTGCTCATCTCTATCACCACCTGTTGTTGGAAAGTAGAGTAATTGTGATTTATTACTTTTTCAAGAGTACAATGTTTCTGTAGATTTTGTTTTGATCAATCAGGTATCTGAAAAACAGAACCAATCATCCTGCTTTGAGGTCCCTAACCAAACTACTGAGAGTTCCACATACATCTTGTCTGATACCAGTAGATTGAAAAAGGAGTCAGATAGAGGAGGATGGAGGAGACAAAGTGACAGGCAAAATGATTACAATACTTACTGGATGGTAGGTACAGACACTCAGGAAGGAAAGGGTTAAGACCACCACTAATCGGCACAGAGAATCAGGAGGGAAAGTATTAATAAGAGCCGCTGTTTCTCAGGCAAGTGTGAAACGTGAATTGAATGAATGTAAGCGCTGCCTGCAGCTGTCTCCCATTTATATCTAATTACAGCATGTTACACAGGAAGAAAAGGAAGACTTGCAGGGGGAAAAAATAAAGAGACACCAAGCTAAAAACATACTAAAGGCGAAAAGTTAAGAAAGATTACATTTGTTTAACCACAGTTCATAGTTTTAATGGAAGCATTTATTTGCTTTAAATGTTCAGCTTTCATTAATTGCCACCAAATAGCTGGCATTTTAGCTCCAAATTATTATTATTATTTTTAAATTGAGTAGATAAACCATTAACAATTTGTATTAAGTGATCAAGATACAAGCATTTAGGTATGGATACCCATAAAATCAATCTGGAGCACTGCAGGGCATAGCAGTTGTAGTCATAGCAGAAAATCTGTAGGGGAATAATCTGAAAGCAAGAATAAGGGTAGACTAGGTGCTATCCAGTTCTCAGCCAGTATTGTCAAGCGCTTTTAGATGTGAAAGTCGCTATATAAGCATAAGTTGTATTGTATTCATGCCAGGAGAATGTCTTGAAGTGCATCACAGGATTTACTGTAAAGTGTAGTGACTGTGTATTTTGTAGGTGATCTACATCAGATATGGACCCTCTCCAGTGATGCCAGGAAAAAGATCATTTAGGTGTTCTGTATTGGGATCCAGATGAATTTCCCTAAAGAGACCCACTTCTCAGCAAAGTGCATTTGGTTCAAAGCTTGTGTCTTAAACTCATTCAGAATCATGAACATTTCCATAATGTGTGAGAAGGTGCACACTGCCTGCAGCAAACCTCAGGGTATTAACAGTTCAAGTGTTGGCATTCTTTAGATGCTCTATAGGATCTATAGTTGACTTTCACATGAATAATTACTCAGTGATATCTTGGGAATGCTGTGGCACAGAACCTCTCAATCTTTGTTTGAGTTATCCATGCTCAAATCTATGCCAACGTTTCTTGAAAGGAAGATAATCTCACTGTAGAAAGTGACACAGAACAGAGCTATGAAATCAGCTTCACTTTGCAAACGGAGGCAGGCAGCTAAAAATGTCTCCAGTCAACACCTTCTCAGAAAGATACTAAACAGGTCTGAGCTGGTGTTGTGTGCGAAGCACTGAGCTTAAGGCACTGAAGGGACAGAGGGACTTGCATTGTTTCTGCAAGCTACGTGAGAAGATTACAGAACACCCTTCCTTCAGTCAGATGTTTGCAGAATTGATCCATTGCACAGAGGAGAATACTTTTTAAATTTTAAAAATAAAAACAAAATTCTGCAGCAAATGTTTTTTTGAAAATGACTCTCTGGGTCTGAGCCTATTTCGACTCTGGGATTGGTCTCCAGGGATTAGCTTTGAAGTGTGTTCTACTCCCTGTATATCAATTAGTGCAAATTGCAGCAACCTGTTCAGAAGAGGCAAGTTGTGGCATGAGTGATGTTAAGTGGAAAGGACAGTAAGTAAAAGTTTGTAGTGGAATTACTATGCTGAAAATTTAATTTTTATTTTTAATCAGTGATGTTTCTCTGTCTATAAACTCTCATCAGTATAAAGTGTGGGTATAGTGAGCACATTTCAAAGCTCCACAGCAAAGGTAGTTAGTCATTAAAATCTAACAAAGATTTATAAGCAACCCTAGCATTAGATTATCAGTTTTGCTATACAGTATTCATTCATCGACTTGGAGCTCTGCTTATTGGTCTGGGCATTTTGTACCCCAGTAGTTGCAGCTTTCAACCAGAAGAGGGTAATATGATTGTATTCAGTCGGGTATGCACATGTTATCATCACATAAACAGATTAACAGTATTATGTGCAGTCATGCCTGAAACCTAATTGTTTTTCTTCCTGATAATGCAGCACAGAGTCAAGTCATGTAGCCCTTCTCTCACCTGCATTGCATTCCATATGTGACTGGCAAGTTCAACTGCATACACATATCTTTCCTTCCCCCATTGCACCTGTTTATGTAAGGCACAAGAGCTTACATTTCACTAGTGCACAGATGGTCTGTGGACTGCAGTACTAAAGTATTCTACAGTGACACATTGACCTGGGAGTGTGGGTATGTCTCCTCCATATGACAGAACTGGCTTCAAACTGGACTTTGAGACTTATTTTGATGAAGAAGACAGATGACCAGCTGGCATAGACCATCCATTCAGTTGACACATGCTGGTGCCTGTATGTCTTTGAGCTGCAAATTAAAAAAGGAGATAAAGGGCTATAACTGAGTGAGGTTTTGACATTACAGATTTACTGTGTGGCTTAAATATTTACACAGATCAAGGGGAAGACTAATATAATTCCTTCTTGTCAAAGCTTCCAAATAATTTTAGCATTTGGTTTGCAATTCATTACTATTTAGGTTGCATTATCTCTTAATGATGGATCCATGCTGTGGAGTAATATTAATAATGTAGGACCCGCTTCCTATTGAGTGGGACCCTAACAGCAATCAATCAAACATTACACCTTAGGCAACTATTAGACATTTTCAATATATAAATGCCTCAGCAAGGGAGATTAGAGAAGGTGCTTTCAGTAGGATTGAAGGTAAACATGGACTTCCAGTTTAGGGTGGTAAGTGTGTGAGATGTGTCAGCCCACAAAAAGTATAACAGTCCACCTGCAGTTGTAGGGAATGCACTCGGATGCAATCCTTTCTCGCTGTGGAGACCAGACACTCACAGCAGATGCTTCAAGCAAAATTAAGGATTTATTTCAGTTGATTTTCCAAAGTGATGAAAATTAAATGTGGTTGTCAGTTAATACCTAATGCAGTTTAGCATTGCTGGGCTGTACCCATCTTCCTGAAATCATGATAAAGAAAAAATTAGTTATTGCATGCATATACACATTGTTTCTGCTGCCATTACTTTGGACCCTGTCTTCCATTGCAAAGCAGGCCTTAAGAGTTAAAACAGCTTGTGAGATACAGTCACAGTGGTTTAAGTCCATAAAATTAGAGTCTGTATTATAACCAAAATGCCTTATGGATCGGCTGCTGGTCAACACTTTGACCATGTTACCAGGTTGCCAATGACATCACCACTGATGCTCACAGGAAGCCAGCAACCACTTTCCAATTGTTAGTGGGATGTCAGGAGGCCATATGTACCTGCACACTATACCCGGGAAGTCAGGAGTGTACGGCATTTGTGATATACCACAAGTTCACATTGCAACAGCATTATAAACAGGCCTGTGATATACTTTAGTGAGGTACAATGGGATCCAACTGTAAATAATCCCAATGGATGCACAATGGGAATTGATGTGTGTTTGGTGGTAGCTGATTACTGCTATTAATTCAACAGTAAGCTTATAATTTCCTCTCCCCTCAGTCCATCTCCCTACCCTCGTTCCCCCCAGTATACACCAGGAATGGTCCTGAAATCTTTACAAAACTAAAGGGGTAAAAAAAGAAATATATATATTCACAGCATTTCCAGACCACTTTCACTAAACAACAATAAAATTATATTTGTATAGTGCCTTTCACATTGGGAGGACGTCCCAAGGCGCTGAACAGACAGAGTTATGGACCCGAGCTGAGGGTTGGGAGGGGGAGGGTGGAGGGCAGGGGAGGAAGCAGGAAGATCGCGGAAGGCCCGCCCGCCGATAGTGGAGCAAGCAAGGCGGGGGATGTGAAGCAGGCCGGAGCCCGCTGACCAGAGGGAGCGGAGAGGGTGGTAAGGTGTTAGGAGGTCGGAGAGGTAGGGGGGAGCAAGACCGTGGAGAGCTTTGACAGTAAGGACCAGGATCTTGAACTGTATTCTCTGTGTGATGGGAAGCCAGTGGAGTTGGGCAAGGATGGGGGTGATAGGATCACGGAGCCTAGTGCGGGAGAGGACACGGGGTGCAAAGTTCTGGATGATCTACAGCCTATGGAGGGAGGAGTTGGCGAGGCCGACAAGCAGTGAGTTTGCATAGTTGAGCCTCGATGTAACTGGGGGGTGTACTAAAGTATCAACTTTGACAACAAACAGGGTTTTCAGATTAATAATATAATTATCTTTTATTTTTATTTGTTATCTTTGTGAATTTGTTTCGCTACTTCACTAACTTCACAGTAAATTGTGTGAAGCTCTTTGAGGTGTTCCTATGGTGCGATAAGGTGCTAAATTAAATGCAGAGATTATTATCTTTGTAAATTAAATTTGGTTATAAACAGCTGTGAAACAGTAAAACACACGCTGAAAGACACAAAGACACTCATGCATAACTTCCTATTTTAAAAAGATTTCCATAAATCCTACCATGAAGGAATGCAATTAACAGTAACATCTTAAGAAGTAACTGCATCTGAATGAATAGTCACTTAGAATTAAAACAAGTAACATCATAATTGAAGGTTTTGACAATTGTGAACAGGATCATTCAAAAAAAGTCCCGAGTTTAAGTGGTGAGTAATTTTAATGGTCTCGCCTCCCACGACAGGCATAATTTCAGAGACAAAGAGGCATTTAATAAATTGGGATGTGTAGAAGTGCTCTGTTCATGGAAATAGGACAAAAGACGCTAAGATGTGTTGCACAATCTAGCACTTTCACCTCTGAAGCTAGGCTTTCAAGGCTTTCAAAAGGGCAGTGACAACAGAAAGTTCCAACTTTCAACTCCCACCCCCCAAATTCTGCATATGTACACTCATCAGTGTATCAAAGGTGCCAGCACAGTAGTTCAGACAATGGATAATTTTGTATACTTTCAAATGTATTGTTTTGCTCCTCAGCTGGCCTTTCAGACACATTATGAATCCAATAGTTTTTCTTTTTGTCTTTTTTTTTCTCCCAACTGTATTCTCACTCATCAGTCCCTGAATTGGCTTCTCCTTACTTAATTGTGAAAACCTATCCAGCAAATTCATCTGTTTCATTATACTTTCTCAGTGCTGCTTTATTACTGATAAAAGATACAAAAATGCTCTGTGCATTACTGACAGGAAAGGAATAAATTAAAAGCATTATTCACTGGGTAACATTTGTAGCAACCTCGGATTAATGCCTGCATACTACCTACTGATAGTTCTCTTTGGTGATCATGTCCCTAACGATCTTCAGACCCTCAGCAGCAAACAATTCGACTGACGTGCATAGAAAAGTTATATATTTTACAGATTACAATAAAGATCTGTGCAAAAAACTTTCAAGGATCTTAAATAATTTCCTAGTCATTCTCCATTAGTTATTTGTCTGAGCATTTCACTTTCTTTGTTACTCTTCCACAGGATTTTCACTGCTTGGAGGACACCCTTGCTTCCTTACTACACAGGATATTCATCTCGGGGTAAATGAGAGCCGCAAGGATACAGCAAGGTTAGTAATGACATAACAATGTTGACAAAATACTGTCTATCATTTAATATGAAATTTGAAAGAAGAAAGGTCGCTCCAGGACTCTGTAGGGTGACTAAGTAAAAAAATTGGATGGAATATTAAGTCTTATGATCTGCAAGGAAATCTATTTTTTAAAAAGTCTATTTAAGACTGCTTCACGTCAAGGGATTTAATGTGGGACTTAGTTCTGAATACCAAACTGAGGTCTGGATGATACCAAATTAATTTGGATTTTCTTCTCCAGTTTACAAATACGGTGTTAAGTAATACAAGATGAATAGAAGCAATTGACTTGGTGAAGAACAATTAATGAATATAATGTAAGGTATAGTGATGGCTCACCAGTCACTGGGATTTTGTGTGTTTATACCCACAAAAGATAAGATGCTCATTCATATTTTGCCACAAGTTGCTGTGTTCCATTTTAACAAAGCAATAATTCCAGGTCCTGCACAGCAAGAAACTAATATACCATCAATATTTAATGAACATATGCTATGCCCTCTTATCAAAAGCATTATACAGTACGTTGCCTCATCATTTTGATCACATTGCATTACACCATGGAAAGGTCTAGCAATATTTAGAATATTTTTACACAACACTATTTTCCCATTGTTTAACTTTTCTGTGGTGCATTCTGAGCAAACACATTCTGTGCCTGTGCTGTCTGTGCTTTCAGTGTTAAAAGTGCAAACAGCAGTAAATAGCTATAGGTTGCCTAAATGCATTTCAGGAAGACCTACACAGTTCGAATGTGAAAATGAAGCTACATGTTGGCTTTCTATAATGCTGCAGCATGTGGTTCAGAATACTCAGCAGATAGTTATTACTTACAAATCTATGTGTTTTTTAATTGGGTTTATTACATTCCCTACAGATAGTTGGAGGTGATGTATTGTACGTTTGGTGACATCAAACAATTGTTCAAATTTAAAAAGTCACAATATTTTAAAAATAGACAAGCAACACTATATTCACTCAGATCTGTTCTATCTGTCGTTTTTCCAGAGTGTGGGGGCAGAGAGGCTGAAAGCCCGGCCACCGATGGTAGGGCGGGTCGGGCGGGAGACATGGAGCAGACCAGAGCCCGATGAACAGAGGGAGCGGGCAGGTTGGTAGGGAGTCAGCAGGTCAGAGAGGTAGGAGGGGGCAAGGCCATGGATGGCCTTCAATATGAGGACAAGGATCTTGAACTCGATCCTCTGAGGGATGGGGAGCCATATCAGCGATATCAAAGGCAGCAGAGAGGTCAAGGAGGATGAGGAGACAGAAGGAGCCCTGGTCACAGATGGACAAAACGTCATTTATCATTTTGACCAAAGGTGTTTCTGTGCTGTGGGCGGCACAGAAACCCAATTGGAGGGATTTATGAAGGGAATGGCGGGAGAGGAAGGAGCAAAGTTGGGAAGCAACAACTTGTTCCAGGACCTTGGAAAGGAAAGGGGGGTTGGATAAAGGGTGGAGGTTGGATACTGGAGAGCAAAGTATATATGCACTGAATACACAACTGATTGGTGTGCTGTTGCTCAGCAACGTGTGGTCTATATTGTTATTTAGTCTGGTAAAAATTAATAAGGCTTCCCTAAGGGAAAAGATGGAACCAAACCACCTGATATCACCTTCTACTTGCTGCAATGTTATTGTACTAACAATAGGTGCATATTTATGAGACACCACTCAACATTAATATAACAGGAGAATGGAACAGATGCAGCATTTTCATTTGTCATTGTCAATGCTAAATTCCACTCGGTGCCTTTGCATTATTAATAAAGATAAAAGTTTGAACACCAAACATATCTGTTTTTAACATTATGTTATTCCTTTGCCCAAGCTTTTTGTATCATTTAAGATTTCAAGGTTATGCTGCATTTTTTCCTTCAGGTGCTTGGAGCATGTTAGGGTGCAATATCTTTGTATATTATACAATTTTACCTATAGTATATATTGAAATTTAATCAAAGCTATTTGAGCATCTTTTAAGACTTAGAAGTTTATTTTGGTATATTTATTTCTAATGATATATTTTATGAAGTTGCTTACTGTGTTTGATTAAATTGGCTGAATAGGAGCACATCAATTATAGATAATAACAATAATAATAATCCTTGCATTTGGTACAGCGCCCTAGCAAGACTTTGAGATGTCTCAAAGCGCTTCACAGAATACACTGTAAAGTGAATTGACTGTATGTTTTGTAGGCGAAACGCGGCAGCCAATTGTGCACAGCAGCGTCCCACAAACAGTTGTGGATTGAAGTGATCAATTTATTATTTTTTTAAAAGGGTTTATTACCCTTGGAAAAGCAATACACCAATCGACTAACATCCGAGTTCCTCCTCACTGCTAGGTAAACAGAGGCTTCCAGAGTAAGGAAGCTTGCCCAACATTTCGCCCTGACGAGAATTGAACCCAAGTCTCTCGCTTGTGAGGCGAGTGCTCTAACTACTGAACTACAGGACTCATTGAATTTGAGTTAATAAAAAGGCTCTAAAATAATAGGTGATTGGATAAGAAAGACTAGAGCTTTAAACACTACTATATCTCACTGTGGACAGAGCATTTTCTGTAAAAATTGCAAGCATGATTTTATTCCTTTTTCGGCAGATCGAGAGGAATCTGTCAATCAAAAGTGTTCTATTTTGATTTTTTCATTTTCTGTGTATTGTTGGGAAGTTTGTTTGATAATATGGGCTCAAGGATGCTGCTTCTAGGCCATTTCAGAGACATCGCCATTTAAAAAGCTACCTTTTGTCTCACAATAGATAAACTGAAAATAGCGTCATTACTGTTTGCTTCTGGATGAAATGTTACAGAAAATGAATCAAAACAAAGTAATGTGTGACTCGCTAAAACTATTAATATCCCAAAAGGGGTAGGCCTGACCACTGGGGTGTGAAGACTTGGCAAAGTGTAGCGTCATCAGAAATGTGTGACACTCTTCACAGTTTAACCTGTGAGTAACTATTACTTTGGATGGCGAAAACCTGTACAAAACGATTTGCAATGTGAACAGTTCACCAGACTACATCAATAAACAAATGCATTTATTATAGATTCATTGACTGAATTTATGAAAAGGCTTTAAAATAATAGGTGGTTGGACAAGAAAGATTGGAGCTTTAAACACTACGATACCTCACACTACTATATCAGCATTTGCTGTAAAAAATTGCAAACATGACTAACCCTACCCTCCCCGCCCTCCACCCCTCCTGATCTTAACCACCAGCTCGTGTGCGGATCCCTGACTGTCCACCACCTTGGGACAACCTCCTGACGTGAAAGGCATTATATAAGTGTAATTTGTTGTGGTTATTGAATTAAGATAACAATAAGGGTTTTGCCACTAGCAAAACTAGTTCAAAAAATCTTTAAAAATAACACCTGTTTATTTGCATCTCTATTGCATATTTGTTCCCAAATCAGCATCTGAACTCTTGAAGCATTGCAACATAATATTTTCCTCTTATGTTCTGTGGACTGTTACTTGCTGAGGTCACAAGGTAATGTTTCAGGCTCAATTACCAGAAAACGTCTATTTTCAGAGAAGGGAGCTGGATAGCATGGTATATTGAAATTATCTGATCTCAAATCAGATTCAACCAAGCAAACACGATGACATATCTATGACCTCTTGTTTGTTTTGAGTTATTTTCCTAACCTTTGGTTCTGCTGATTTGTGTTCCAGAGTGCTCTCTGGGATGACGGACCTGATCCTGGCCAGGGTTTACAAACACTCTGATCTCGAGCAGCTAGCACAGGATGGCACAATCCCAGTGATCAATGGGTTGTCTGAGCTGTATCATCCTATCCAGATTCTGGCTGATTACCTTACTCTTCAGGTATCCTTATGAGAACAATCTGCTTTTTAGAGTTTAACCTGGAGTAAGAATGGGTTTGTGGTGCAGTAACTACAGAAGACAGTACTACATAATGATAGGCCACAGCTTAGATCTTCCACACTGAATTCCTGATCTGTTGAGTGGAGATATTGATTGTAGGGAAAGTTAAGCAGAAGGTTGGAGCAGAATGTCCATCTGAGCTATAGTGGCCTGGGGAGATCTAAAAAAGTTGAGGAACAAACAAATTTTATTAAACACATAAAGGAAAAGACATGCAATTTCTAGCACCTTGTTAGATGGAAACATCTTAAAGCACTTTACAGTAATTGTTGTCAAGTTCCATGCCTGCTTATGTAAACATTCTCTCATAAAGGTTACAGCAATCATAATAATAATCCTTGCATTTAATGTCAGGAATACTCTCAGAATGTTTCACGAGATTCACTGTAATGTGCACTTACTGTGTATTTTAGTAAGTGAATGCTGCAGCCTGTTTGCACACAGCAATGTCCCAAAACAGCCATTAAGTGAATGTCCTGTATTCTCTGGAGCTTGTGAGCTAGGAAAATGGGAGAAACCTCTCTTCCCTTTTTAAATAGTGCCGTGGGATCTGTGACGTCCGCCTGAACAGGTAGATGGGACCTCTGCCTGGTCAGATGTTTTAATATTCATCTGTAGGACATCATCTCCTAAAATGCAGCATTACATTGGAATGGCAGCCTGAACTATGTGAGTTCAAGGTGGGGCTTGAATCCACAACCTTCTGACTCAGAGGCATGAATGCTACCAACTGAGCAAGGCTGACACTTGGAGCTAAATTACATGTCCCTCAATTGCAATATAGCTACAGCAGCTAGAGGATAACTGCCAGTCAATGAAGGTCATTCACCTACTTCATGGAAATTACATAGAAGGCTTCAGGTACGGTCCCTCATAGGCCATGAAAAGACCACCACACCTCTCCAGCAGCCCCCAAAATAAATCCCCATTGAATGAATATATACATTTTTCCCTTTGTTACTAAAGTATGGAAAGAGGACAGAGAAATGTTTGATGTTCTTTTCAAAGAAGTATGTTGTTAATTCTTGTGTTAAGCTAGCATCAGAGCATTGTACAATATGACATGAGTAAATGATGTTTGTGACATTATTACTACAGATTTAGACACAATGTACTACTGTATTGAATCGGGAAGTGATCAACCAATACATTTTAAAATCTATTGAACTCAAGTAGAGACTCGTGGAATCCTGTAGCTCAGTGGTTAGAGCACTCGCCTCGCAAGTGAGAGACCTGGGTTCCATTCCCGGCAGGGTGAAACCTTGGGCAAATTTCCTTACTCCACATGCCTGATAATAATCCCTCAAGAAAAAAACAATAATAAATTAGTCACTTCAATCCACAACTGTTTGTGGGACCCTGCTGTGCGCAATTGACTGCCGCGTTTTGCCTACAAATATACAGTCAATTCACTCTACAGTATATTCTGTGAAGTGCTTTGAGACGTCAAGAAGACATGAAAAGCGCTATAACAAATGCAAGGATTATTATTATTAGGTAGAGTCCAATAATAATCTTTGCATTTGAGCATATTATTGATCCATAAAATTTGGACTCCTCTAGTTTCATTTTCTAGAAAACGTGGAATGAGACTAAAACATGCAGTCTGAGGTGAAGGTGTCACTTGTTCATGAAATAAATTTGATTGTTTGATCTGATGGTTTTAACATTTAGCCTTTGTTATAATCTATAGGAGCATTTTGGCTCATTGAATGGTCTAACTGTGGCTTGGATAGGAGATGGAAACAATATTCTACATTCCTTAATGATGAGCGCTGCTAAACTGGGTATGCATCTTCATATTGCTACACCTAAGGTAAGCTCTGATGACAGAAACATTCTAGTTCTTAATATTTCAGTAACTGAAAAATGCACATTAATTCATGAACAACTTGTGATGCATATCACTGACAACTCCTGTACATACTTTAAGAACTGAATATATAAAATGATGGTCTCTCAATAGGAAAAGTCTGCTGAAGGAATATTTTGGGAAGTTGGGTGGGTATCCTAGATGGACGAATGTTCTACTCCTGCTTGAAACGCACTCAGATGCAAAGATAATCTTTGCACATTGACCAAGAAAGGCCAATGTGTCAGTCCCAAAACTTAGCCAAAGATAGTAATGAACCTCATTATCTCTTGCTTAATTTAGCCTTGTAGACAAGAGTACCACTTTGGCATTCTGTGGCATTCTGTTCACAAATTGGAAATGCTGTGCTACTTGCAACTTCCACTTTGCAAGTGAAATTATGGGATTCCTTCTAACATCCCACAGTGATAACACCCCAGTCAGACAGACAAATTTAAGTTACAGATAGCCTTTATAGTTAAACTCTAAAGCGTTAAGAATGAACCAGCTCAACTACCGGGCTTCCCCACACAGTTAACTGAAATCTACGTGATCATGTCTACCTGTTGATCAATGAGTATATGTGAGTTGGATGTCATTTTACAACGTAGTCTATGAAGCTTCAGATGAAAGAAACTTTGTTGAATCAAAGGACCCTTCTTCTTTGCAGGGTTTTGAACCGAAGAGCAGTATCATCACGTTTGCGGAGTCATTGTCAAAACAGGTGATTTCACTCATCAATATGATTTTCAACAGGAATTATTGTGCAATTTTGGAGAAAAGGTGCCAAGTTCTTTTTTTTAATTATTATTGCAATTAGTGTGGAACGAAGTTGTTTATGACCAATGATCCATCGGAAGCAGCAAATGGAGCCAATGTTCTAGTAACAGACACATGGATCAGCATGGGACAGGAAGAGGAAAAACTAGAGAGACTGAAAGCATTTCAGGGTTACCAAATCACCTTGAAGGTAGGATTATGAAATGTCAAAACAGTCAAAGACTAACTAATAATAATATCTGCCTGTGATTCAGTGGAGTTAAAAAAGCATTCCACTTGAAAGCCATACCACTGGCAGAAAAAGCACCTCACAAGATCACAAGATCAATTCAGATGAAGAAAACCCTTGGCCTATCTGATCTCAACCTTACAGAATACTCACCCTAATCATCCTTATCCATCAGAGCATCAAGCTGTTTTTTAACAAATTTTATTCTTGCATGCTCTCTACATATGTGTAATGTGTATATATCTCCTTTATTATTATTATTATTATATACACTATATCCAATACTTTGGATGAACCTATATTAAAACTCATTTGCCAATTATCAGCCCATATGAACACTCTGTCAAATTTACCCCACAACACACTGGTTTCTGCAGGAAAGTGCTCTAATTCTGACAATGCAGGTGTCAGTTGGTAGCGCTTTGACTTCTAGGTCAGAATGTTGTAGGTTTGAACCCCACATCTGGACTTTGAACTTGCAGTCTATTGGTTTTTAAGGGGGATATTGGTTTTCAACCCTGTGAGTACCTGTTGCCCTACAACTGCATATGTTGCCATGAGAGAATAGATTGAATATTGAATACCCTGATATTCAGTTCATCTGACTTTCTGTGAAAATATACTCATATTATTCCTTATATTGTTTCACAGACTGGAAAGTTTGCTGCCCCTAACTGGGCTTTCTTGCATTGTTTGCCACGAAAACAAGAAGAAGTAGATGATGCAGTATTTTACTCGCCAAGATCACTGGTCTTCCAAGAAGCTGAAAACAGGAAATGGACAATCATGGTAAGACATAGAGAAAAATGATTGTCAAAAATCATTAGACAAAACTCCCCCAGCAAATAAAAACTTCTTGAAATATTCATAATCTACTTTAAAACCTGCCTAAAATAAATTATTTACTCACACCCCAGGGTATATTGCCCATTATTATATCTTGGCTTGATTCTCAAATTTGATTCACTAAAAATTTGATACGTTGCGATATTTTTGTTGAATTATTACGGAAGCTTTAAGGATTATCTGTTGCAATACACTTGCCCATCTATTACTATGTTGTCTGCCGCCGATATTATAACTATAATTGTTCTAATTTCCCCTGAAAATGTTCTAGCTACTCGAGCAATTCAAGAATTGAAGTAAAATGTTATTAAACATTTTTTGTTTTGTATTTGGTTGCCTATCCCTCTCCCCCAATTTATGTTCCCCACCCCATGCCATAAAAGCAACTCACTGCTAAGCAACTGAATATAGCGGTCCATTGTGAATACCTGATCTGCATCTGCAGTGAATCAGGATGTACCCATAGTTCCCTCAGTAGCCTAATTTGTAATAGCACTGTCTAAGATATGCAGAACAAAAGGTTACCTCTTTGAATCTCAGTCTATGCTAAACTCACTGTTCAAAGTCTAAGCATCAGTTGAGGTGTTACAATTACCCTCAGTGTCCATCATTTAGGAAGAGGACATCATCTAAGGTTCTCATTACTGATTGTTATCCCCTCCCCTTCTCTCTTTATTGCAAAAGTGTGTGTGTGTATAGAAGTTAGGTGAGGACAGAATGAATCTCTGCTGTATCTGTTTGCACATTATACATTGCTAAATTGATGTTTAGACATAAAAATGATTCAGTATTATATTTATATTATTTTTTTCCCATCATAATCTCTCCTTTATTTCTGTACTAGCTAAAAAGGCCCATAATTTATAAAGTGATGCAAACTTTGCTGCCCTCATCATCAAAATGTTATTTTCCTTCCTAATGAGATATTCTATTGACTGGACAATCCAAGTCCTCTGAGACACTACCCCATGTGAAGGACACTATAAATGCAAATTGTTATTGTCGTTGTTGACTGGTAAAACTCACTCAAATCAGTTAAGAATGGGATTCAAAGTCAATCATTAGGTTTTAGACAACTGCTTTCTAACACTAAAGATGGTGTTTTAACACTGTTTAAAGGTGACTTTTTTTCTGATTTGAGTTTCTGTTCTCTGCAGGCTGTAATGGTTTCCATACTGACAGACTACGCTCCACTGAGTGAGATGCCACGATTCTGAATTCTATAGAACTACGGAAATAACACCATTATATGATGCATTCATCTGGGAATAATATCAATGAACTTCAAAAAACTTGGTTACTGTACAATTATTTGAAATATGATTAAATGGTACCATTTCACTACATTACAATGCAGTAGTTGGTTGTTAAAACATTATTTGTAGCTTTTCTTGTTTGTTCTAATCTATTCTTTCTGATATAAAGCTTCAAACATCCAAATTGCATATTTCGCAATTATAAACTACTTGTTCATTCAAGAGATTTCTTGGTAATGTGGTTTTCGCTGACTTTAATGGCAAATGTTTATTCATAATACTTTTTATTCTTAAACCTCAGTATTTTAAGAAAAAATGAAGCAGCTTTATAATTTTTTAAAACTTCCATCTTAACAAGTCAAGAATCCAAGAAATTGTAATGCAAACACTGTATTATGTTACATCTAATAAATGATTCTCTTTCCCTCTTGACTGAAGGCTAGGAAAATCGCAAAGTATTTCAGAGCTCCGATGGCTGATTTCTGAGATATTTTTGTAATATGATTAACATAACCACCTTCAAACGCATCATATTGGCTCATTTGGTAGAACTCTAGCCTCTGAATCAGATGGTTGAGGGTCAAACCCCACATTGGGAGTTAGAGCACACAGTCTCGGCTGGCACTCAAATGAGGTACATTGCAGCACAATAACTGTTGTCATTGTAAACATATGGGAATCTCAGTCTGCATTGTTGGACGGCCATTCATCAGAGGAGACGTTAAACCAAGGTTCTGTCTACCCTTTCAGATAGATGTTGAAAATCCCATAGTAATAATGAAAATCAGAAGAGAATTTCTCCTGGTGCCCTGACCAACAATCCCCCAAATAAAATTGGACACACTTCATTGTTGTTTGTGCACAAATTGTCTGCCACATTTACCTGTAAATATACATGTACACAAGACTTTAAAGCACTTTAAGATATTGCAGTAAGTAGCCAACTGTATCAAACGCAAGGATTATTATTAATAGCGGTTAATTTGCTCAACACACTATTCCCAAAGGGTAGAAATAGGCCCTTTGTAGCCTACTTCAACCTTTATTGTAGTGCTATTCCAACTTAATGAGCCACGCAATTCACTCTTCCCATTTGGTACGTTTACTCCCTCTCCTTTACAGCTCTAACCTTTCATGGCCAGTTGTAATTTGACACTGGAATCTCCAGCGCAAAAAAAGTCATGAAAGAGTAAACGGTTTTGATACTGACCTCAGAAATAATGATTACACTCATTACTAATTCCTTTACTCTCAGTCCATTGGCTGGTGGACAATGAAACCAAATGGATTATACAATACTGTAAATGATTCCATTCTGCTAGTCCTTGTGTTATTTATTTTCTGTGATATATGATATGCTATATATTATTAAAATTAGCTTCAAAATCAAGTAGATATCAACAACGTATTCTACTAGAAAGGAATGCATGCAAAATTGTATTATATATTAAAAATATTGATGCTAAAAAAGTATTGTTTCCTATTGCCAGCCTCTACAAAAAACAACTATTAGGATTATTGGGTTTGTAATGAACTAAAGAAAACTGTGGAAAATAAACAAAGGGTTTTATGATCTTGCAGAGACGTGCTTTCACTTGCTTCTATGCTTCCGTGTTCCCATGGAAACTGTTTAGCCTTTGTGAACTCTACTGAGATTCTCATATGTTTCTACTGACAACAGTTGTTGTTTATAGAAAGACCAAATGTATAACTACTGTGGGAATGTTTGTGGCTCTGAGAAGATGTTAAAGATGCGGGAATGTATGGGAGTGAACAACATTGTGTAACAGCAGGCAGACTGGAGCCTTTGGTTAGTGCCCATATGCATATCCAACTCCACAGCCCTGAGCTTCACACATCTTGACAGGCAGTTGGAACCACTTAGAGTCCACAAGGGGGCTCATGAGCAAGGGCACCAGCATACAGTCTCAAACAGAGGGAAACCTTTATGTTTGCCAAATGCCATGCCAAATCCACCAGACAAAAACATCTCTACAATACTCTTTTTCACACAATTCAGCCTTTTGTCAGTAATCATCATAGTATTTAATAGAGCTGCTGTATACTTTTTCGAATACCATGTTTTCTGAGATCAGATCAATTTGATAAATTCAGGATGAACTGCTTTATACATGTAACGTTTGAATGGTTCATGTTAGGTCACTGTTATGCAAGTGGTGTGCATACTCAATCTAGTCCCAATTGATCAGATATTTAAAATGGAGATAGTTTGAAATAAAATATATTTCTTTACACACAAGCGTTCAATAATGCAGAATGCCTGCCCCAGAAGGATGTATCAATTCGGATGCTTAAATTAAAATCAATTGGGAGACAGACAGACAATCAGACGGAATCACTAGGTTAGTATCAGGGGCAAAAATCCTGGATGACTCTCCCCTCCCTAACCCAGGATTCTGAAGCTGATTGTATTAATCCAATTGCTGATCCAAATCGATCATCTAATTAGACTGGGGGGTGATTTTAAAAAATAGTGTAGTGCATTATTTTATCATAAAAGTGATAAATTGACAACTTGCAACCAACGCAACACAGTGGCACAGATCATGTGAGTTCTGAGCACATTTCTGGCACAGATTATGGAAGCTTCAAGTCCCAGGGAACCTGTCACATGTATCCGCCAGACACAGCTTGGCTGAGATTCACTGGTTCTCAGCCACGGTGCTAAAAGCAACACGAGCTGGGGAGCGATGCTCCTTTCGGCGGTAAGTTTACCATATATTGATAATAGGGACTCAGAATGGAAAATCCGCATAGACTGTCAAAGAACAGCAAATTTACCACCAAACAGACTATCCTTCTTGCCATTTTATGAATGCGTTACCAGTCTTGAAGTGGGAGTGATGTCAACATTGGAAAGCATTATGTCTTCCTCATTCCAACCCTGTCAACGTACTTACAGAGCAATTTAGATATATGAACGAGTTAGTTAAAATGCAAGGTTTTTCAAGAGACAAATAATAATAAATAACTGACACTTTAAGTAAAAAAATGACTGGCAGCAAGACTACAAAAACTTATGTCACCTTGGATTCAATGGTTGCACAGGTTTTCGGTTTACAATTGTGATGCTACAAGTAAGATTAGTATGACAGTAAAAAAAAGTAATTCAAACATCAAGAATAGTTGTATTACTAGATTATGGTATTAGTCCTAAAGCAATCAACAAATACGTTATTGCAATCTTACATGAAAATAAAATATGTAAACACTATAGTGGTGAAATTCCTGATCTCAGCACAATCACCGACATTACAAATGGAAAATCATAATGCAGGCGCACAAACAGACATTTTTCAAAGTTATCATATAACAAAAATTTGGATGGGTTCAATGTGTATTGAATGCATACCATCGATCTAACCCAATTCTGTCTTGACGTTTGCCGAAAAAATACATTACACGTTACCAAAAAAAAACGCTCTGTGAAGCTCTTCGATGTTTTGATATCATCAGACCCTGTATTAATATAAATGCAAGGATTATTATTTATTAGTTTATTTCAATTTATGCCTAATACATTTTAAGTAGTTTTAATCTCACAACAGGGATCTATCCTGAGTTGATCAGCATATACGTATGTACAAATGGTGAGCTTTTACTGTGACACCAGAGAATTAGTGTGTCACCAGATCAGCAACATCATTGTTGACAAAGACCGAGAAAAGAAGATCCTTATAAATTGCAAGAATAATCGGCTCGATAAATGCTCCAGTGCAACACTAAAGGCTTGAGGTCTCAGAGTTTTCCCTCGCAAAGTTTGATTGCAACCATGCCACTGGTTGGACGTATAGAATGGAAACCAAGTGTTTCCTTACAAGAGAGAGTGAGTTCAGAAAGGACAAAAAAGAATACATTTGAAATATAGTACCAGCAGAAAATGCTGAAATTACACAATACGTCGATCGGAATCACAAGAGAAGATCTAGAAGCTTAATTTATCTTTTCTATCCTTTGCTTTTTGGCCAGTTGAGCATGTCCAGAATGTTACGTTTATTAAATCAAAAGCAAATGTCCCCCCCTTTCTTTCCCTCTCCGAAATTGTACTAGTAGCACAGTGGCTTCCTCTGAGCATTTATTGATGAAGATCCTGTTGCAGTTTCAACACACGGTCTTTGAATTATTGCCCAGGAATAAAATGTAGGACGCCTACTTACTCCTTTGTTTTCACAGAGGTAGCATTGGACACATCACGATAAATGTTGATTTGAACTATCTCAAAAATAGCACGCTTTACAACAACAACAACTTGCACTTAGCTAGCACCCTCCACGCAGGGTAGTTTTTCAGTTGGATCTGCAATCTTGATGTTTCTCAGTTAGATCCGCAATCCTTTATTCAGAATTATATATACAGTGCATATACGGCTATTCTCAAACGGCTCATTTCTTTGCCATGATTGTATAATCTTTCAATGGAAGAAATTTCTGCGTGTTCCAGTGTTCTCAACATAAATGTCTCGGGAGCCCACAGAATCGGATTCGTGTAGAGAATAAGTCGATTGCACACCATAAACGCTGCAACCTCAAGCAGATGTGCAGCTTCCTGCAAAACAGCAGGAAATCGAAGATGCTGTCCATCCAGAGGTTTGGGTTCTGAATTACTGCGGGCGATGCCTCTCGGGAATGGGATTCAAATAAAATAAATGGAAGTACTCGCTGTAACCTTCGGGTCGTCCTTAAATAAACATTTACTGAAATACTAGAAATCGACACGCTGCAAAAATGTTACCAGCAGCAGCGAGGGGTAACTGGCTGTGGTCTGCGACCCACACTTCAGAATGCGGTGCCCATCTTTACAGTCGCATCGCTACATAATTTAGGTGTCAAGTCAATATGGAGCAGTGATTTGGCCTCAGGTGTTCGGTGCCCGACTCCCTCGGGTGTGACAGCTGATGAAGCTGCACAATATGAAGATCTAAATGTTAGGGACCAAAATGAGGAGGACGAGACAAATGCATTTTGCGTTGGCATTGTTTTACCGTGTGCCTCGTCTGGAACAGTACCAATCCGCATTCACGTGGGTTTTGGTAATGTAAAGGATAACATGTGTGTGATTCTGCCCCCACGCCTAATGCACACACTATTTTTGCGGTAGGAGCATACGCATTTATTTTCTTGTTGCTTCGTGTCTGGGATCTCGGTTTGTCGCCCTTTGGCTGCGGAGATATCAGTACAGTGTTGCCAGCAAAACCCGTCCGAACACGTCTCCCTCCCATCAACCAGGCGCAGCGGCAGCGGCAGCGGCAGCGGCAGCCGTGCGTTTGGGCTCGTGGCGGAGCTGACTCCAAAGTGGCCTGAGCGCGGAGCCGCCGCCGTCCTCGAGCAGCGGCGGCTCTCGACCCCGCGCCCAGTGACAGCGGGGTTTCCTGGGCGATGCGTGGCGTGCAGCCAGAGCCGTGGGCTCATTGCGGAGCTGACGTCATCGAGGCTGCGTTCATTGGTCCTGTGGTGCAGCGCCGCTGGTCTATGACTTTAATGCTGCAGTCTCCTGGCGGGCGGGGGGCGGGCGGTGTGGGGGGGGGGCGGCAGGAGAGCGAGCACTGAACCGTGACCGCGGAGAATAGTATGGCATCGCGGCGAATGGAGACCAAACCGGTGATAACGTGTCTGAAAACTCTGCTTATCGTCTACAGCTTCGTTTTTTGGGTAAGAAACGCGAGTAAAGTGGAGGGAACTGTGTCCTGTCCTTCAGCTGTTGTCCAAATAGAAACAAATATTTACACATATTGCTTTCAGGACGTGCGATTTGGGGCAAAGAAAAAGGCTGAAGATTGGGAAGCGAGGCTGGTGGACCATGTTTTTTTCTTATCCAGTTGCTTATTGTCTTTGTATATGTAACGACTTGCTATATTTACCAAAATACCCATAATCTAGGGGTTGTTTTGCAAATATGGGATTGATTACAAAGATCAACAACAGATATTTATTTATATGGGAATTGCATTATAATCGACGCACTGGCGATCAAGTGATGCGCAGAACTACTGCAGCGAAACGTAAAAGATCTTCAATCTTAACATTGCAGCCGTGGGTTTCCAGGTGTATTTTCCTGGTTTAAGGGGTATTTGCCCCCCAAGTAAATGCGCATTTCGCTTTAGTAACTTGCGTATTGCATCGGGCGCTGAAATCACGTCCGATCCGTTATGATCTGTAGTGTAATACTGTATAGAAACATCCAGACCAACTTCCCTGGAGAGATTTAATACTCGGTTGTGTTTTGGTTTTGCTGCTCAGTTCATTCGGGTACAAGTAGACGATCATTCTAGACTTGTGCCTTCGTCTCTCAATTCACTAATACATCAGCAATGCAGACATGCAGCAAACAGCCCCCATCAGACTGTTCTTTTAACAAAAAAAACCTGAAGGGCTTCAACGAAGCAATGCATTCAGTCTATTTTCCCACAGTGGCTTCTTTATGGAACTGCAGTATGTCCCCGTCCCCCCCACCCCCGCGTATAGCTTTCAAAAAATATAAACGCTTTGTATGTAACAGTAAATGAATTGCCCCCAAAGTTATTGCTGCTTAATTCCTTTACCATTTCAGCCCAATCGGTGGATAATGTTGAATGCACTATGAATATGGATATAATGCATTTAACACTTCTGTGGATTGAATTGCAATATTTCTGTCTTGATGTGAGAAATTAGCCATATCACACCATCCCTAATGTCTTCTATTTTCTGCTCCACATACAGTGTGTTTACATTGAGTTGTCTTGCCAGTCAATGTACTGCAGTGAGGGGCAATTTCACCCGCTGGAGAATAGTTCATTTGCATTCTTGACGATCCCAAATGAAATACCTCTGAATGGTTGACAGCAGCGCGTGGTATTCTTCAAATTATTTAAGAATGCAGTTAAGATTGGGCTGGGAGATATAGTATGTGCCTGTAGAATAAAACCTGTAGCACTGATGATGGTGATGATGATGATGATGATGATGGTGATGTAACGTATGTGTGTCTCCATTGATCTGGAAGATCGGTAACTGGTGAACAGTGGACACCTAATGAGTTATTAGGAGCCTTACACATTTATGAAATAATTTAATAATACTCCTTGGATTTGATATACAGTAGGACCTTTTGGAGGATGTCTCAAAGGATGTCTCAAAGCTTTTCAAAGGATATACTGTTAAATGTAGTGACTGTGCATTTTGTACTTGAACGTGGCAGCCAATTTGTGCACAGTAATGTCCCTTAAACAACCATGAAGTGAATGATCTATTTTATTTGGGGTGATTGTTGGCTAGGACACCGAGAGAAACTCCTTTCTATACAGGTCACATATCTTAATAATCTCAATGCCTATATTTATATTCGTTGGTAGATAAACTTGTTTCAAGCAACCTCCATACTGACCTATCCACTCGGTCTGCTCAGTGGAACCTGGGCTGCTGCATGTCTTCCGCCCCACCATTGGTGGTCGAGCCTTCAGACTTTCTGCTCCCACTCTTTGGAACTCCATCCCACAGTCCCTTCGCCTCTCTCCCTCTCTTACCTTCTTCAAGACCATTCAAAGACCCTCCTCTTTGACTGTACCTTCTGTCACCTTCCTAACCCCATCCTGATCCCAATCCCCACAGCGGTTGAAAATTAATGACTTGGGATATTCTCCCGATGTGAAAACATATACCAATATAATTTCTTCTTGTTGTTTGTACTGATTTTTTTTCCCCTCTACAGATCTGTGGGCTGTAGTTAGCCTCTCAGTAGTTAGACCTCAGCCAGATCTGGGCGTTGTAGTTAGCTTCGGCACTCCCTAGCAGACCACAGAAGAAAAATCAGGCGAGATCCCACTCATTCCTACATTAAACACTCATCTTCTAAGCTCATATTTCAAGAATGGCCACTTGGATGAGATGCTGGAGGGCAATTCATATATGTGAAACCATCGTTCAACAGCTTTGGTGGGGGGATGGGAGACGCATCTTTTTCACATGCAGTGTAAGTTGACTGATCTGCTTTGCTCACTCCAAGACAGTGTATAAAAAACAGTTATAAATAAACTTGACATTTGGACAAGGAGAATGTCCAGGACCTAAGGGAAATAATGAATTAATGTTATCACAACTGACACGATTCTTCTCAACTTATATTTTACGAGGCATTCAAGAATGCACTGCTGCATTTTGTGGGTGAAACATGGCAGCCAATTGTGCTAAGCAGGGTCTCGCAAACAGTCATGGATTGCGTGATCAAATTCTTTTTTGGAGGGATTATTATCCCCAGAAAAGCAACCCGCCAATCGACTAACAACCAGGTTCCTACTTACTGCTGGGTAAACAGTGGCGTGTGTGTGGAGCGTGGAAATTTAACAGATTAACAGATCGCTTCACCATTGTATTTATACCCTCACCTATAATGACAACAAGTTGTAATTCTGTAGTTTTTTTCATGTAAAAGGAAAAAAGAATGCCACATGTGCTTGTTCCTAAAGTCTACTTTTAAGAATACAGTTACGGTGAGTGACATGCTGTACAAAGTTATTGGACAGATTTGGACTACTGTAACATGAGAACTGTTTACGATTGTTTAGCAAATGTAAAAGTATAGCATCTTCATTGAACTAAGCAGTTACACGAATCGTAGCTAGTATTTATTTTATGTTTTTAAACTAAGTATGTATTTTGTGTAACAAATGAAAACAAACAAAAAATTCAAGTAGAACAGCAAACTGTAATTAGCTGGGGAGATTTTAACATTTAAAGCTAAAGTATTTAAACGGGATGTACGTTCTGTTATAGATATATGGGTGCAGGGAGAAGAATATGCTGAATTTCTTCAGTCCAGTAACCTTCTTTGAAATATTTGAACATTGGAGAATTTTCCAGTTGTCTGTCATAAAACAAAGTAGCAGGAAGGCAAACAGTTGCAGTTTCTGTGGTAACTAATTTGGATCAGTTAGAAGTTTTTTTCTCTTTGTTTCTTATTCTCTCTCTCACTCACTCTCTATTTTCCTCTTTTATTCTTTTCTCATGTTTTCATCCTCTCTTCTCTGATGAGCATGAAAAAGAGATTGTCCAGACGAGGTCAATGTTGAACCTTCAGGACTTGTTGCGGGTTACCTTTCCCCAAGTGGAATAGCCAAGACTGGCAGAACCTCCCTCCAAAAAAGCATTGGTCAAAACCATTTTTATGAAGTTTTTTAAAAATTGTGACCTTGGCAGGTTTATATGAAAGTCAGATTTTGAAACCTGTCCAAAAGTAAAAGATATTGCATTTTTGAATTGCAGTTTGTTTATGGCCATTGCTAAAAGAGACAGCTTGGTCTTCTAGCTAAATGGTGAGGTAAAATTCCATCACTTGAAAATACTTGAAGGGTATTCTTAAAGGATGACAATAAATAGGAAGGAGATTAGTGAACCGATCAAACAATGTTGACAGCATGATTGTGAAGAACTGCGATCTCAACAAAATTCAGATTAGCAAGATGTGTCTGTAATATATTGTAGGTTTATGTTAATTTTAATTTTTGCTTGAGAGGAAGCAGATGCTAGAAACGTCAAGCCGATCAGCAGATCTCACTGCAGCCAAAGTACCAATACAGTTGAAATGGAAGTGCCTGAAATAGAAATTCATCCATTTTGTGAATTTGTTTATTGACCTACATAGAAAACAAGATGGGTGGTGTGACATGGTCACTGTAACTATGTACTGTATTATGCCATAGAGTGGCATCACAATTCCCACCATGACAAGATCTCTTAGACCTTGGAGAATTGTGAGGGAAGAGAATTATAGATCAGCTGTGGTAACCACTCTGAGTACCTCTTGCACACTTCATAATAATAAATAATCCTTTGATTTGGTATACTGACTTTCATGTCGGGAAGACGTCTCAAAGCACTTCACAGAATTTATTATGAAGTGCAGTGGCTGCGTATTTGTAAGCGAACGCGGCAGCCTAATTGCACACAGCAATGTCCCACAAACAGCCATGAAATGAATAACCAATTTTATTTTGGGGCGATTGTTGGCCAGAACACTGGGAAAAACTCCCTTCTCTTTTGAATATAACGTTCATCTGAACAGGCAAAAAGGATTTCAGCTTCAAGTCTCATCAAAGAACGAGACTTTAAACTGATAATGAAACACCCTCCAGCACTGCATTGGAGTGTCACCTTAGACTATGTGAGTGCAAGGCCCGATGGTCATGAACCCACAACCTTCTGACCCAGAGGCGAGAGAGCTACTACTGAGCCAGGCTGACATACATGGTGGTTGGTTGTGTAGCAGGATTGAATGGAAACTGGGACGAGAACTTCTGTCAAGTCTCTCAGTTAATGATTTTTCACATAGCTTTTCCAAAAGAACTGTGGTATGTGTAATGTAGTATGATGATAAACCTATTTGGCCTTTTATTCCTGGTGGTAGGGAACTTACTGTCCCTTTCTCTCCAGGAAGTAAAGAGCACTTGCTTAGTTTTGAAGGGCTCAAGGCTTCTGGGAATATTTGATATAAATAGGGAAGGGGACGAGGTCATTGCTAATATTTATAATTTAATGTTGAAGATGAATTTGAGCCAGTTCTTCACACTACTCTGAACATTTATTTGTATAATTAATTCTTTCCAGAAGCAGCTGCTGTCTTGTCCTCAGCAGGGCAGAATTCCAGCCATCTGTTTTTCTCAACAAATCGTGGACTC